TTCCACGAATTTCGGAATTGTTTTTCGTCACATTGAAATATGATACGACATTTCTTCAGTTTTCTTGTTTTTTTCTTCTTTTTGTTTAAAGATATTAAATCGCGCGCGCACATGTGTGTGGAAGAGGAGAAGAAAGGAGAAGAGGGCGCGCCGCGACCTATATCCGGAGCTTGCTCAAGCATTCGATAAGATGTATCATCAAATAGTAGCTTATCAATGAAACACACCGATAGCTACGTGTTTTCAGATTAACAACAACAATACGTGTTATTGTGCCCGCGGTCACTATCGCGCTATTTTCCTACATATTTTTGTACGAGATATTGCGCTAGACATACATTGCGAGGCGAATGTGTGCCGTGCTCGATTGCTTTTTCTTTCGAAAGAAAAGCGCACAAATTGACAAAATCTGTGCTACTTTGAATGCGAACAAGTGCTATAAATTGATATTTTACGTTCGCATTATCTAACATCGTATAGAAAGTGTAGAGATTAATTTACAAATTAATTTTGAAAACAAATACATCTCGTGGTTTTCCAACTAAACTCACAACTTTTCGACAAAAGATAATCGTTCTTGCGGTGAGATATCGTAACATCCGCGCTAGATACGCGTCAACCAGTATGACGGAAACATACGCTGTCGATTTCGCGAGAAAATACATAATGTGTGCGATCACAAAACATTTGTAAGTTTTCACTCTCAGTAACGACTAATTAGGAAACAGTTAAGTAATTGCATCGCGCTTCTTTCTGATATTTTCTTCTATCTATCTCGAGCGATTCTGCGAGAATTTGTTTTATGAATCGTAAATTCTTCTTCGTTGGATGCAATCGGCACAAGACGCACCCAACGGTGCGCCCATTGTTGAGTCCTTTTATCAGACCGGGGTCATGCGGGCTTCTTCGCGCTTTATTTTCGTACCGATGACTCACGAAGAGTTCGTTACACGCGAAACGACTCGCTTTTTTATACGCGTGAAATGCGTCGTGAGACAGGCTGCATCTCGTGAACTCGAATGCATCGATTCATGCGAGATCAGGGGCGTAGCATCGTGTTGTGTGTATAAACGAGATTACAAAATACACAAGACGTTGCCGTCAGCTTCTTTTTTCTCTTCGAAAATAATTAAATTTGTTACTAACAGTTAAGAGCAAAACAACTTGAGAAATATCATTAAGCGATAAGAAATTACTCAACAATAAAGTAAATAGAAACAATTAAGATTGTTTTTTCGTAATTTTGTCTCTAGAGTTATACATTATCAATCTCTTTATCGCACCTTTCAAACACATATAAGCGTTACTTCGCCGCTCATCATTAGCAAAGCTAATATTCTAAGCAATAGAATGACAATTAGCATTACGATGCAATATCTCTCGTATCTCATATACGAAGGCTATTGTGCGTTGTATGCAATAAGATGAAGCGGGTATTGTCTACGATGAGGGAACGTTTCTTGCACACAAATAGAAAGCAATAAAATTTATCCGCGATATAATGATTATAGATATAAAAAGTATATGAATTAAAAGACTGATAGTAAAATTCCATTAATATAATAACAATTTAATAATTTGCAAGTGCAAAATTAGCATTTCTCAATTTGTTTTCTTTTTTTAACGTGCAGAAAATTGTTCAACTTTATCTCGGATTTTATTCGTCAGTTTATATTTAACAAAATTGGAAGTATATGTGTACGATCGCGTGAGACATCTCTTTTACGTACAGATCCCGGAGGCATATTTCGGTGGTCGATTGTGGGAACGGATGTACGGGTCTTTCTCGGCGCAACGTTCCGCGACGCGCGCGAGTGCATCTATAATTGTTGCGCGCGAAATTAACGCGGGCGTTTACGCATATCGCGATCGCGCGCGCCGGATGCAAAACGCATCTCCCGCTTGTAAGTAATAGCGCTGGAAATTCGACGCTCTTTTGGGTCGACGGCCTTCTCTCGCGCCAGGATCCGAGGACAAAAGAGGTTCTGTGTTCGGAAATCTTGCCGTTCCTTTTCATCCTCTTCTTCTTTCGATCTCTCTCTCTCTCTCTCTCTCTCTCTCTCTCTCTCTGCATCACTTCAATGTCGATGTGCCGAGCTCTTTGACATCTCTCCGACGAGTTCCGCGCGGTGGTTCCTTATTACCGTAGAAAATGAAAGTGCATCCGCCCGAATGCGCGCAACTCCATAACGTGAAAGCAATCTCTGCAATTTATCCGTCTCTCCTGCTAATTACCGACGACCTTTCAATTTGTCTCGAGCGCGACGCTCGTTAATCTCGGCGCGACTTTTGTCACAAATTTCATTGAAAGAACGAAAATCCTCTCTTAGTAAGAAACGTTTCGTTGTTCGAAAACAACTACAACTTATTTCCTCGCGCGATTGTTCAAAATATTTTGAGATAATCATTTATCATGCGAACAAATGTGAATGTGAACTCTGTTTATATTGTTGTCGACGTTGGAAACAAAATCGTAAATATTGAAATATTAAATTTTTCTTTTCTCTTCTGATTTTAAGTGAATAACAGTATCAAGTTTATCGTATGTGTATTATTTTCTGAAATAATTTGTTATCTGACGCAATGCGATACGTCCCGGAAAAAGTTGACCAGATTCTGAAAGCGACCTGACTCGTCGGAATGTAGAGTGCGGAATTTCAGCTCGCCGATTGTTAGAAATAGTGACCGTGTGCGGCGCGCGTTAAGGATTCCGAACGCAAACCGCGCTGTTTCTGACCAGTCACGTTCGACATATACCACGTCGGATCCTCGTAGGTAGGTAGGTATAGGTAAGCATCTCAGAACAAACTCGCAGAAGGGAAAGAAACACACAAGGAACGTGCATACTTACGATAGGACCGACCGATCGTCGTTGGCTTCTCCGACAAGATACAGTCGACCGAAGCACGTAACATATAAGCGTGTCGACTTATTATGTTGGTACGATGATGAAACAAAAGTCGCGGAAAATATTTAAAAAAGTCATATAAAAAAATGTATATACTAAAAAGAATATTATAATTTTTTAGAGAACACATTTCTTAAATATGACGAAAATTTTATTCTAGATTGCCATGATATATTTAATAAAATTTGAAAAAAGATATAGAGGTAACTGTTAAAAATACAAATCATCTGTTTGTTAAAAATTTTTGATCGATCTTGCTTTTAAACATTTATTACGTGATCGTTTCGATTGACGCCGAAGTATCGGACTTATTCGCGTCGATCTCGACGAATGAACGGTCCCAACGAGTGCAAGGCGACAGGGCAGGTCGTTATTTGCGGTCGCCGGATGACCGCATGTATAAATCACGTTCACCGAGAGAAGATTCGGAACCACCACATTCGCTCCGATTGCATCGCTACGCCAATTTTCGACGAGGAGAAGCCGTACAAGAGAAGTAACTAGGACGATGATAAAATCACTCGTTTTCGACGAGGTCGCGACTATGACTCTTCTCGATCAATTTCAAAAACCTATAGTAGGTGCTAATTCCAAGCGAATTTCTTCTTTCTTTCCCTTCTCCAGAATATTCTTCCCCATGCGAGATTCGGAAACACGACACACACGTAAATTAAATTTCTTTTACCTCGAGAAGATAAATTTAGAAGAATGACATATGTATGGGCACGGTGAGTTTCGAATTGCACATTGCGGAGCATCCACATTTCACGTGCAACGACCTGATAAACTACGTTCTGTCAGACTGGATTTCGGGATTTAAACGAACTGGAAGATCCGCGTGCTAGCGAGAGATATTCAATTTCTCAGAAGACGCGTTTCGCACCGAGAATATCTAACCAGAAGATCCGATGAGATACTTTATTCAGAACGACAAGTTATAATTAACGGATTTAACATTAAGACTGTAATCAGTGATTTTATATTTGATTTGAAGCTTGTTTTTAAATAATTTTTTCTTTCAAACGATGCGCAGAAATTAAGATTCAAGGGGGGTTCAGAGATTCATCTCTTGATTCTGCAATAAAAGCGTCTCGTATGTGAAATTCACGTACTGTGAATTCTACTGAGATGCGCGCTTTCCGTACAAGTACTCTCACTGTTACAGCACCATAAATAATCGAGTGTTCATAAAGTAAAGGGGAAAGAGCGCTTCCTTCTAGAAGAGTTTCCACTCGTCGTATACGTTCTGATATCTCATGCGGTTGACTTGGTTTTCATTAGAACTTTTATATTTACAAACAATGACATATATTACATATATATGTATGTACACATACACACAAAATTGTATATATATTTGGTGTTATTCGCTTCTATCACGCGCTATGTTTCGTTACAGAAATGAAACGTACAATTAGCGAAATTTTGATATATATTAGATTTCGATAAATATTCGTTAATGCGTATGTAACCGAAGGATCATCGAAAAGCAGATTTGGGAAACAAACAGATGTAATTTTACTTTTGTGTGTGTGTGGTTTACAAAAATATATATGTTTTCTACGAGATAACTAAAAAAGTAACGTATATTACTGTATTATTTTAAAAAATTTTATTATATTCGATAAATAAAAACGCGTCTACATAAGTTACACACATTCAACAAGACTTTTACGCTCTTTTTCTCTGGAGCTATCTTAAATAACCGATATTTTTGCTCGGTTTCTGGTCAATATCACTCGTGCTGCGAACTGATCTTATGACTTCCCGCAGAATATTTCAAGAAAAGTCGAAAGTCTTGCGTCGAAATTGCGAGAGAAGAGAGAACGAGCGGCGAAAGCCGGTATGAGGGCGGTCGCTAGAAGGGCGAGGGCTCGTTTAGGGCGGCGGAGGAAATCGATGACAACGTCTGGGCCATGAGAGGAGGCTCTGAACCTCCCTCGCACGAGAGAAAATGTTCGAGAAACGATTGGGAGAGACGGAGAATCTCTTCGAGACAATCGGAAATGAGAAGTGGAACAATATAATAAGAAAGGATGATATCTATAAAAAAGCGTGTATATGTGCGAATCAAGTGTATAAATGAACTCACACTTGGCTGTCAGAGTAATTTCCAATTGCCTTGTTGTCAGCCTTGTCGGTCAAAAGTTGGATGTTTTGTCGCTTGTCCTCTGGGTCTCCTTGGCTCACGTCGTCACCGGTAGTTGTTATCGAATAGAATGATTGCGAGTACACACCGGTGTAACGACGAGAAGTTACTTTCAAGAAAAAAAAATCAGTACGCGGAATGATAAGGAGCAACACTAGCAAACCGCTTTCGTTACGCGTATCTCTTCGTACGACACTCCGCGCGACACTACTCCGAGAGTAGAAGAAGAGATTACTATTTCGCGTGAGTGGATGGCGGGCGCTTCAAGAGTAGGCAATTTCTTTTTCGAGAAAAGAAGAAGAACGTATATCAGAAAAGGGGAAGCAGTCCAACCACTACCGCTCTTGCGCTTTCTCTTTCTCTCTTACACACACTCTTTTCTTTCTCTCTTTCTCTCTCTCGTTCCGTTCGCGCGGATGTCTCGAGCCTGACTGACACTCCGGCTACGAGCTCCGAATCGTCGAGCCAGTCGACCGACCCTTTTGTTCTTTCTCTCTCTCACTCCTACATCTACCATCGGTTTTCTGTCCTTGTTTAAATGTTGTTGCGCCGGTGCAGCTTTTCTTTCTCTTTCTCGCACCTATCGACATCGTCTATCCACCTTTCTTCATCGCTCCACTGACGTCGGTCGCACATCGGGTGGTTTTCCTTCGACGACGAGCGTTCGTGCCCTTCGTCTCGACAGGAAGTCGTGAATTAGATCGACACCCCGTATGTGTCGGAACTCACGCGAACGAGAGAATGAGCGAGCGCGCAAATGAGCGAGTTTCTCATAGGGCCTATAAATGTTTATAGACAACTACGACTGAGAAGCAAATCCATATTTGACTGCGTTTATACACGACGACAATAATACGAGTCAAATCGATTACAACTGCATTGATCGATTTTCAGTCAGTTGTATTGTGTGATCAATTCTACGAGAATGTTACTCTGGAAAAATTGAATCAGATAATTGAATTATTGCTTAAGTGATTTATTCTGTACTATAATATAACAATATTATTTCAGAGACCACAGTATGTGCGTATGTTTATGTAAGTGGTAGGACACATTTAAATTAATAAATGGATAGTAAAAGTGAAAATTTTTTTTTATTTATTAATATAAAGTAAGTTTATTCTCAACAAAACAAATAAATAGAAATAACAAAAATTTTTTCTATTTCTTATTTAATTAAATATATGTAAATATATAAATGTTGCTAAAATATAATTTATTCTCATACAAGTAATCTATACAGTTAATCTATACAGTTTACTGTTTTATATATTTAATATGCGATTCTTTTAGTTGGTGAAACTATTATAATCTTAATACTAATATTTATATTATATATAAGGAAGCATATGCGACATAAAACTTCAACGAATTTAAATCTAAATACCGACCGAATGTGCAAAATTATAGATTTTGGTTTCTTGGGTTTTAATAAAGCTGTCAGGTATTAGCAGGGAATCTTTAGACTGTTTTCTTTTCTTTTTTTTAGAAAGCCGTTTATTGATCCTAGCAAAAATGGAAAATTGCGTAATCTTGTGTTCGATCGATATTACAGACTCCTTTAGCGTTATAATGACGCCGCATTGACGCTTTCCTTAGTTTTTTTTTTTTTTTTTTTGACTAATTGTAAGATGTTGTAGAGATTACATTGTCCAAAATTCATTCTCTCAAGTCCGCTTAATATGTTAATTAACAATTTGGGAGCAACTTAATTATATAATAAAGACAAGGATTTTTTAGGATCAAACTGTTAATTTAGGCGTTAACTTTGCCCTCCTTCTCTGGAATGTCCTCGATCATTACGCTGTCAGTGGGAACCAGCTTTACACGATCGGACGGCTTGGGTCTCATGAGAATAAACGGTAACTCGGCTGTCAATTCGCCACCTAGAGCTCCTAGATATAACTTGACCTTCACAGCGTAAGACACAATAATACCGAAAGTATCGCGTATATCTGGTGAGATGAGCAAAGTGCTGGATGCAAGTTCGCCTTCTTCTCGCTTCATCATACCATCCAACGCGATACCACGACGCTGCTTGTTGCTGTCCATATCGGGCTTCAAATAAAGCACCTTTTGCAGATTCGAACCGGGATTGATGGGGCAGCCGTCTTGCGTCTCCACAGCGGCGATCACCGCACGAAACTGGCCGTTCTGAAAAATAACTACATCGATGCCCTGCTGTATCAACGCCTTGATCTTCTTCACGATCTTGTTGCTGTTGTTGCGTACGCACACGTTGATGGCAATTGTCTCGCCGTGATGGTATAATTGTTTATCTAGTGTGACCTCGAGTTCGAGTTCGCCCGGACTCATCAAGAAATCCTTTCGCACCACAGTACACGGTTGACGGCCTTGCTTCGTAGGTGCGTACTGAATTTTTCGGATGCCCATTAAGACGGTGCTGCGTTTGTGAGTCAAATCGGTCTCCGTTTCACCACAGTATACTTTTATATAGTAACTGACACCGCAGGGTTCGCCGGTTTCATCGGGTCCGGGTTGAAGAGTTACACTAGATGGCGAAGACTGCGGAAACGTGAAAGTGAAGGGAATTGCGTTCGAGCCCAGTTTCTTCAGTAATCTGCTCCAAAGACATTAAGTGATAAAATTTATTTCATGATGTTGAAATTATATTTTCTAAATCTATTTGTTTTAAGAAATATAGTGTTACCTGTCTTGCAGCTTAGTAAGATTCGCTTCGGGTTTCTTAACTTGCGGAAAGATTTGTTCGGACGCTAAATACAAATCCTTCTGAAAATTTAGACCCATCACCTCATCTTCCTCACGACCATATCGGAAGCTGCACATTAGCTGGCACCACACCTTTCTGTTGTCGTTCACATAGTCTTGATTGATCATAATCACTCCATCCACGGGTTCGGTACCCGACAGATAGTCGATGAAATCACGTTTGCCCAGATAAACTGTCAGCTTGTCGTTAGGCGAACTTTTTTTGTAAACTTTGAAATTCGCCACCATGGTAAAAATAATTTTTCTTTCTTGGCTCACAAAAGACAACTGGATCATCGAATAACGTATCGACGACTTATATACCGGGTAGGTAAGGTGACGCATGATCAATTTCTAAGGCTTCCTAATACGTTTAAGATGCGGATAAAGCAACGTTTAGGTCGTGCTCACGCGATGCTCTTATGCGCTTCCAACATGTATTTACGTGGTGTGGATTATTCATGCACGTTGTTGTTATTTTTTTTTTTTTTTTTTTTGAGTCATAAGTCATTTAATTTAATTTCGTAAGCATATGTGTATATAATTTCGTTTTACCAAAAACTCAGTTTTATTATATAGTCTGAACTTTAAATAGTCTGAATCTATTTTTTTACAATATGTTTTAAAACATCCGCGACTCTTCGTTACTTTGATTTGTTCGATTTCTTAAGCTTTGCTTCAATTACAAAGATAAATTTCTTAAAAACTTATTTCATTGTGTGTGCGTACGCGCGCGCTACAATATTTTATTACAAATATTGAAAGTTTTGAATATCGAATGGCGACTAAATAATAATTATTTTTAAGTATTACTACATTAAGTAAAAAATAAATAAAATATATCTATTTAATAAAAAGCTTTTGCAATTTTTGTATACATATTTTATTATGATTAGTATTATTTAGATCGTAGTATCTCTGCTTATATAGACCGTATTTATTGCATATTTTATTATGTTTTACGTCAGGTATAGCGTGTTGACTTAGGTCTCTTATCATACTATAATCTTTATGCTTTTATATGACTCTGTCGGCAACAGTTACGACAATCTTATCAATTTCTATTGATTGATAAGCAGTGTTCTAGTGCCATCTGTATAACGATGACGAAGTTAATATATAGATGACAAATTTGTTCAGAAGTGACAAGTCATCCAAATCTTTCATATACAGAAATCGAGTGAGCATTCATATGTATGAATAAAATATATACACACATATTTATCAAACTTCTATATTACATATTATATAACATTAGTGATTACATTATTAACTACGTAAAAACAAGATAATTGTTAATATTATATACTTCTCACAAATAATTGCTTTCATTCTTCTACATAGGTATGTATTACTTTTTGAGAAAATCGATTTAAAAAATATATCAATTTCGATCGATTTTAGTTAATTTCAAGTATATTCCACCTTTTGGTGCTAATAGAAATGCCTTAGGATCCATTTGATATGGTATTAGCGTTTTTTCACAGGATTCGATTTTGCAGTTTCGTAATAACTTTACAAGTCCAATTTTAGTCTGATAAACAGCAAAGCGGGCACCTGAAATTGAAAAATACATGAAAAGTGTCAGAAGCTTGTTAATTAAAAAAAATTCAATGAAAAAAAGATTACGAGCAATTAAAGCTCGAAAGAGATGTGTATTTTATAAGATTTTTCTTTTCACTGTACCGATACAATTTCTCGGACCATCACCGAAAGGTAAATAAAACATTGAATGCCTGGTTTGTGCAATTTCATCGCTAAATCTTTCTGGATCGAAAACATCTGGTTTTGGATAAATGTCCGGATTTCGTTGAATTGAATAAATTGGGATCCACACTCTTTGACCTTTTGGTATGCTAACTTTGGTACCATCAAATGTATAATCTGCCAATGATTGTCTCATGAGAAATGTCACTGGTGGATATTTTCGTAAAGTTTCTGTGGAAAAAACAATGAGAAATAAGTCATAGAAATATTTCCTTAAATACTTAAAAGTAAAAATAAACATCAAATGTATAGAATGTATTTAAAACTATCTATGTTAATGACCTGTACACACATTAATTGTTTTATGTAAATCTCTTTTCAAACACACCTTTGAAAACTTTATCCAAGTAATTCATCTTTTTAATGTTTTCATATGTTAAATCACCGCCGCATTTTGCATACTCCTGATCAATTTCTTCACGTAACCTGTCTTGCACTATCGGATTTAATGCTAACTCATAAAGCGCGTGACTTATAGTAGTCGATGAGGTTTCAAAGCCAGCAAGAAAAAATACAAATGCTTGAGACGCTATCAAATTGTCAGTCAATTCTAGAATGATAACGCGTGATATAAGTCATTTGTTATCTATTTGAATATTAATTAATTGTATGTAAAAAAACAAACAAATATCGAAATAATTTTATATGATCGTGATTCACTTACCGATATCGCCTAGTTTATCTGGATGGTTTTTTAATTCACGAAGCATATCAATAAAATCATGTCTAACAATATTATTTGTATCCCGATAGCTCATAGTTTCTGTGATAACGCGCTTAAAAAATTTACTGACTTCTGACATCGGATTCAAACCAATGTACCAAAGAATATCCCAGACCCATGGTGCAGCTTGCGTAATTCTCATGCGTATTATGTTTCTCCAGGTCGGAGTGAATACCTGTCTTCCCATCTTGCGAAATTCGCTATCTTCATCCGCCATGGCATTCATTTCAATGCCGAAAGCGCAAGTACCAATTACATCAGTCGTATATTTGGCAGTGAGTTCACGGCATTCTATAGGCTTGTTTTTACGCGCTAGTTGTTCCGTGTACTGTTCGAGGTGATCAGCGCATTTCGATATTAACGAAAACATCTCTTTTAATTTACCGGACGTAAAAACGGGCGACAATTTCGTTCTTAATGGTCGCCATCTTTTAGACTCTAAACTAAAAAGATGTTGTGACAGCGGTTCAGCCTGCGACATAACGAAAACCAAGAGCTTAATTGAACTGTTTTTTTTTTTTTTTTTTTTTTTCAAATAATCTTGTTGTTTGACAACTAGACGTGTATAAAAAACTACTATAAAAATTTTTCTAAAAAAGTGAAAATATTCAAACCTTTTCGTTAGTGGTCAACCCTCTGTCGGCAAACGTTGAAAAATCTTTGATAAGGACGTCTTTAATTAATTCTGGATCTTTCACAACAAGAATAGGTGTCCTCCTCATGAATATTCCAAACATAGGCTCGTCCTTGTAGTAATTATATTTTTCCGTCAAATATTCACTCATGCTTTTCTTAAAAAAAAAGACGTCCTTGGTAGTACCGTAAAACGGTACCGGTCGTGGACCACGAACACCACGTGACTTCCAAAAGTCAAAAGTTGACGTGGAGTAATAATAAAAAGTGAGAATTATGATCGCAATGCCACATAATATTGTGACAGGATCCATTGTCTAGCAGGTGTTGATTTTTTTATCACAAAAAAATTTGCTAGAAAAGAAAAACAAATAAATAATAAACAAATTAATAAATATAAATACAATACATACCTGAATATGTTAGCGCAGTATGCAAGTACTGCGTAGTATGTAAGTGCGATATTAAATCCGCTCGTACCAACTTGCACTGAGGTTACCATTGATAGTACTGGCTGCTGCGGTATCCGTTGGTTAGCTATATATATGCATCCTCTCTCTAGACATATACCGTTTGAAAATGATACGCGCGAGCTACAAGTCACGATGAATTGCGGAAACGATATCTTGAAGATTCAGTGATACTAAGAAATTTGACACGCATAATATGATGTTTTTTTATCCATTACAAATATATACACACGTGTGTATGTATATACTACACATTGAAAGGTTAAAATAATTAATACATGAGGAAAGATTAAAATGATTAATAATTAATGATATACATCTACTTATTTATTTCAATTTGAATCTATTATATGTACACGTTTTACACAGAGTGTAGCTGAATATATTATAACAATATTACATACACACATATACAATATAAAAAATTCTCTTCCGAATTTATATAATGTAATATTATGAATTTATCATGAGCTTTGCGTTAGAAAAGTCTTTAAGTATACATATATATAGTTATTATATATGATTATTTATTTACTTATTATATATAATTATTTCTTTGTAATAAATATAAATATTGCTTTTCCAAAAATAAGCAGCAGCTTTTCAGACTTACAGTTATTATTCAAGGTTTTAAAATGCGACAAAAGATGTTTTCGAAAGTACCAAACCAATTAAAACTATACACAGCCCTGAAACACTCATTAGCATTATCGCGCTAAGAGTGTTCTATCAAGTTTATGATAGAACATTGGCTAAAGTACATACTTAACAAACACTTTTTATAGCAACTTCTTCACAAGAACATGGCCTTTTAACATCGATACGTTTCTCATAAAAAATAAGTAATTGCTTGAACATAGTTTGAATTGTGTACTTTCAACAATTACTTCAACGTAGATTTACATTGAAGCTCCACATAAATCATTTTGAGTTCGCTTTAGTGTTAAGCCTTGAAATAAACTCCATCGCTTGATTGTCACCCTTTCGATGCTCCAATGCGCGAATGACGTCCGTACCTGCAAATCAATTTTGAATCACGGCTACTGGAATTTGACGAATAATATACGTATTTGCTTAAATTATAGTTCACAGTTATCTTTACACAAACTCACACACAAATAATGACATCATTACAATACGTACTAGTTTTGGTTGGACGAGAAAGTTTCAAATGAACTTGGTCTAAAATTGCAAAGTCAGTATTTGTTCCAGAGGTAGGAATCTTGCTGAACGGTAGGAAGGCTTCAGACATAAATCTCGATCTGAGAAAGTCTTTGTCCTTTATTTCGAATGCCACTATAGCGTCTTCCACGGCTCTTTGTTCCGGAGTAAGAGAACTAAAAATGTTATAATTATTTCACAGAATATACCATTTTCAACTTATTTAATATGTTACAGTTATATTATAATTATATTATAATTATCACGTATTTTACTAACATGTTAAACGTTTCGTCAAAAAGAGGAAAAAGCGTTTCTTTTTGTACGTGTGTTTTCGGCGCTTTGATATCAGCGAACTTTTCCTCGGGTAACAATCTGATTTTGACGTAGGAATCGCACTTGCCTGCAACGAATACAGTGAACACTTGTACAAAACACTGTGATTATTGGTATATACCTGAAAAAGCCCAGTGTGAACATTTCCATGCACAGTGAAGGTGACAATCACTGCTGATGCAATAAGTTCTTATCGATGAGATTCAAAAATTGTGATCTAAATTAGACGCTAGTTAATGTCGATATTTGCAATCTCTAGTAAGTCATCATTAATAATAGTTCTTCTTATTTGCAGACATAGATTTATTATCTCACATTTATGTGATAAGAATAAGTTTCAAAAAAAAGAACCTCATAGACAAGATTAACAATCAAAATAACCGACGTCAATACTCCGTGCTAATATTTAATCTTTATGAGCTAGGAAGACTATTGTGTGTTCATTAAAGGCTATTTCTCTACTTGTATAAAAAACTTCAATAAATTCCGTCCGAGCCATGCATTCCCAAAACGCTATTTTCGCGAGAGCAGGCAAAATAGAGAATTTAGCAAATAATTGTACAACAGTACATGTGATGTATTAAAAGGAACTTTGCTCTAGATTTGTTTGTTACATACTTGTCTTCCCTTCTTTCAGTCTTTGTTTAGATTTTGAGTGCAGTTTGCGCTCGAAAGTAGACAGCTTGCTTATAAAATCGCCTATAAAATCGAGAACAAAAAAATGATCATTCCTTCCCTCAGATTCCGCGATTGATTGCACCATCGATTAAACGTATTACATTAAAATTGTATTTTTGTAAAAGAAACTTCTTTTTTTATATATATATAGCGCATTATCAATCATAATCGTGATTAGAACATGATTATATATCAACTAATTGTATTTTTTTTCTGACTGTTTAACTAATAAAAACGCGCGCACATCTTTTTTTCTTGGCTCCTTCATCTGATAATAGTTTGGTTGCTTTTTTCGTAATAGTTTGTCTTTGTCTCGTAGATATTAATCACTTTTTCATTAACTAAGTTAATGTTTTATAATTCTTTACAAAAATATTCTCACCATTATTGTCCATGCAATGAAGGTTTCTCGCATTTAGAATCTGTATATTTAACGAATTGTCGATGAAATGCGCTTTAACTGTGATAAGACCGTAAACGGGATTTTCTATTTCCTCTTGTTGTTCAAGACGTTCTTGATGATAGCGATGTATGAGCTCGGCTGTTTCGAGACCGTGTAATTTTAAAAGACGCTCGATTTTCTCTAAGACTTGAACATTCGATGTTTCATCGGCACCGAGGTTGAAGAATCGGATGAGCGTGTGAAGAGTTCGATGCAAATTCGAGTAAAATGCTGGCGGTCGCCGTTTCTGTAAGCATATATCATTTTATGAGACATTAAAACTCTTTTTCGCGATAAACAAGTGTGTGTGTTTGCATTTCACATCAATTTCACCTCCAAATTAGTGTCGACTAGCTCGTACAACGTCTGCGACATGATTTCCCATATCACTAGGAGAACTCTGTTAAAGTTGTCCTCATTGAGATTATCATGTAAAGTTGTCAAGTTAGTGTCTAGATACTGCAATAGACGATCCATTGCGTTGCTAGTCGTATCAATCAATTCGGCACCTTCTATGAGATACCTAAACCGTAAAGAAAAACATTTCTCGTTACACTAGACTGTTGGCTAAATTAAAGAAAATTGAATTACGTTAAAAAAATAAATTTTATTTAAAATGCGCGCCATAGTTTTACATTTGATTCTCTCGACTTTGTATACCTGTTCATTGCAGGAGACATTTTGTTAGCTACGACTTCCATCAAATCTATGATCTTATTCTTTACAGTATCCGCCGCGTTGTCGATAATAAGGTGAAGCGTTTGTCGACAACGATCGGCCTCTTCGTGAGTTCTGTGCTCCCTCAAAGCCTCGACAATATTTTCCAGTCCCAAGTCTTTGGCCAACGGTGCTATTGATATTCTAATATAGTCTATATTATTGATCGCAAAGCACCAAGCCGTTGATATTGTGAACTTTTTCTCGTAAACGCTACTCTGCGACAGTTGTTCCAATTCCGTAGTTATTTCCGCCTTTTTCGCCATCTTGTCGGCGTACGCAATGGAACACTTACAAATATCCTGCGAAAAGAGAATTATTTTAACGTAAATTATTTAAAATTACTTAACGAGTACGTATACATTGTGCACGAAGCAGACTCACATCGATAATCTTTGCTATAAACGTGTAAGAACCTTCAACATCGGGCCACGCTAATTGCGTCCAAAACACTTTAATTTGATAGAATGTCGTTAATGTATCTACAGCACTTGAGCTGTACTGAACGCTACTGTCAACCGCTTGTAAGGTGTCGATCTCGACCGCTCGATCGATACGTTTAAGTGCTTTGTAAACTGCGATGTCAAGCCAGTGCGCGACACCACTTCGGAACCACTCGTAATAATTTTGTATTTTCATATCTTCCAGCTGTCCTTCGGCACAAAGTATCTGACCAAGTCTGTAATCATAAATCGTGTATCGATCAGATAAAAAACATTTAGAATTCTTCTTCACATCAGTATAAATTGTTGCATTCTTACACAGCGTATCTTTGGAGCATAAGATACAGTTCAAAAAGAGTTGTTCCTAAGCTCAACTCTTCATTGTCAGTGCTGTCGACTTCAATTCGCTTCAATCTAGCGCACACATCTTCTATGATAATGGTGCACATGTCGCTAATTCTTTTTTCATACGTAATATACAACAGCCTCGCGTACGGAACGTTGACTCTTCTATAACGATTCGTAAATTACTGCTCATATCAATTGTGTTAATGAAGACAGAATATTACTCGCGTATGTATTATTATAATATAATATAAATCGCGTACACGGTTATAACATATTAGAACATAAATATATCTATTATTTTTTAATCAACTTACTTTATGAATAATTTGTCGTAATTATCAATGGCTTTCTGTAAGTCAGCTCTAATCAATTGAATTACCTTGATATAATATTTGAGCGCATCTTCGTCCGAATCCGTTTCTGGAGAGTTATTGTTTATTATGTGTTCAAACCTTGAACATATTGAAACGCATGTTCGATCGAGCTGGCGATTAAAGTGTACTAAATATAATATATTTGGTTTACTTACCATTCGGCGCAACCTTGTATAATAGTGTATTCTAAACCTTGTAGTACGTCTATTCTAAGACTATCAATTTCGTGAGGAAACCAAGAATACATTTTGACTGGAAAAAGGTCAATATCGTCAGGAACTTTCAGGGAGGATATAGATGATATTATCCTAAAATAACATTAAAGTATATAAATTTGTGTGTGATATTGTGCAATAAATAAATTAACATATAATATTAATAATAAATATGTAGAAATGATATAAATAATATATATATATAAATAATAATATATACAGTCCGTATATTGTTACCCTAAAATAGCGGATAGTTGCACCATGGTGTTTTTATCCTCCAAAGTCAGTCTTCGAATTTTTCGTATACTATTTAAACATGAATACAGTACTTTCTTAGTGGCATCCCAGAAGAGTCTGGTTTCGTCAGCAGAAAACAAACCACCGTCCATTGGCCTGAGTAAATCGATCGCGAGCTTATTGAAAACAGTAAAACTTAATGGATGCTCTTGATGAATCCTGGCATATTCAACCCATTGTGCAAGAGTGAGATTTCTAGCTAGTAAACCACGCTGCGCGCTGTGTTGAAGAAGAAGAGCTTCCGCCGGCCCCGACCAACGACCGCACCAACAGTATTTTTCGATTTTTTCTGTTTCAATCTCATGAAGTAGTAACACTCGCAGCAGGTGTCGATGTTCTTGCGCGGCCACTTGCGCATTATGTTCCGCGCTGAAGGCCAATCGCAGCTTTACGACGCCTCGTCGTTTTGTTTTGTTTTTTTTCTCTAAAGCATACCACATAGTGTGTCCTGTTGTCGGTATATCCTACATAAAAGGTTTTTTTTTTTCACTTTTGGTCGAAATACGTCCGAGATGGACCAATCCGTGGAATACTCTATTTTTTTTTTTTTTTTTTTTTTAGCAAAAAAAGGAAATGTAAAACGTACAAAAATTTCTTTTCTTTAGAACCAATTATTTCCATTACTTTCTTACTGACTGAATCACGGGTTGATCCAATATAATCGCTTTATATACTTTCACCAACATTTTTTTATATGGAAATATAAATGAGAAAAAGAATTACTACAAACGATTAGCATTACCTTCAGCGATATTCGACATCGTCCAATAAATTCGTTATCGTGACTACCTGTCGTGGCAGTTACTGCAATTTCCTTTGCTAATTTAACCAAACCACGAACTCCTTTAACATCCTTGACTTTGCTCATCTTTTCAGGCACGGTTTCAGCAGCGTCAAAGTCCCTAAAAAATGTATTAAATTAAAAAATCAAAATAATTAATTATTTATTATTATTGTTAACAGCATGTGTGCAACTCACCACACTTCAAGACACAAAACGTCGTTTTCAGGATCTTCCAATGGTCTAGATAACATATATAATAGCAATATATATATTTTATACACATAACTCGTAAAAACATCAATAAAAATGTTAGTTAAATTACAAAGTGTCCGTTTTTTTATTAAGATAAAGAATTGGATATTTTTCTTACAATTCAAAATGTTCTTCCCAGACGGGGCTAAGAGTGCAGGTTTTTACGGCAGTGTTATATCTTCTAGTAGGCGCCGATTCGAGGTAGAGAACACAGAAGGGATCACTTTTACCGTTGGAATCTTTAGACACCAGTTCTTTCGCTTCAATTACTTCAACATTGAGATGCAATTCTGGTGGCTAAATACATACGACACATTGTTTTAAAAACGCAATATACAGGCTAGAATCTTTTAGACTTAACTAAATCACTTTGTATAATTAAATACTATTTTTATACATATTAAACCAAGAATACTCGCGTGAGATATATATTACTTCAAAAATATAAAAATGAAAGCGTACAATGTTTCGATATATTTGTTATTGTTTACTTTTATAAACAATGACAAAATCTGTATCGAGAATCACTAAATATAATAAAATAAACAGCAATTCTTTTTATATAACATAGCAATATATTGTTAATAATAACAACAATTTTTAAATCAGGATGATATATACCTTACGCGACTGTTCTCGCGAGTTAAGATAATTATAGAGATAATTACTTCAAGATTTCGCGTGTGTTCCAATACTCTCTCGTGCGTTTCGTTATCGACTTTAAAAGCATTTTGTAAATGATTCAACAAAGTTTCCTCGCCGCACTCTTTGGAAACGTCAAAACCGATTTGATGTTGTGTCATATACACCAGGGCAGCATAAAGTTCTTCTATCTATAAACAGTAATATAATTATAATTATCTACAGTAAAACAGCAAGACTCTCGTTTTACAAGACACATGTATACATGTGAACGATAAGAGATAATATAATCTGCCGAATATATTTTTTATGCGTTGCTTTGTTTGAATTTCGGATAATGTTTTTTTGCCGGATACATTATTTATATGTCACGACAAGTAGACAGTCGACTGATAGTGCAATAATGCTTTAAGCACGATGTTTATTGGGAATATCATTTGCAGAGTACAAAGTCTTCTAAAATGTATATTTTATGCATTTAAATTGCACGTAAATAAAGTAGTTTTCTGAAACACTTAACAGCATGTCTGCGGAATGAAAGTGACTTAATTTACTAAAATATAATATGTGTGTCTGAAATTAAACAATTCTACAAACTCTCTCCTTCACAACCGTGAAGATAATTCAGCCTGTGATGATAAAACTTACCGTCATAGACTGCAGGAGCGCGTTAGTTCTGCGTTCAATTTCAACTTTAGGTATTCCGCAAAACGTATTTCTCATGCGATTGAGGGTAACCGCCCGTAAGGACGAATTTGTGCTCACCATGTTGAGCTTCATACGCACAGTTGAACACTTCTCGAAATTACATATAAACACTACTGACATTACTGAGATAATCACGCACTCAATTACGCATTTTTGAATTCTTTACACACTATGATACTTCTTATCCGCGCCTAACACTGTCATTGTTGTAAACTACGATATGTTTTTTTCATATTTTATGTGCACATACCAAACTGAAATCCCGTTCAGTCAGTAAGCGCAAGTACAATTTTTCTCAAACTATTTGTTTCCAACAGTCGCGAAGACGATGATAAAGTAGATCTAGAGAAGAGGAATCTAGAGCGACACGACACTGACCCACGGAGACGTAAAACAGAAGATCATGTTGTTAACTCTGAGACACTAAGAACAATGATGTTCATGCATCAGCGGTTCTGGCCTGAATCAGACGTCAAACTTGTTCACGCCGCATGTTCGTACAGTCGTGTGAAGACGAGAAATTCTGTGCACTGATTTCCGTCGATTCACATTCGACGAGAGAGGGTGGAAAGGCGAGCAGAAAAAAATATTGTTTTTGCCAAAATTAAATTTATTGTTTAAAATTTTATATGCCGACACGATTGCACTTTGTGAAGAGAAAAAACTGAACTTTTATCACACATGCAGTCGATGCGAAATTCATTGCGGTATTAAACTTGGTCGCGGTCAAAGGTACACTTCCACGACGGCCACGACCTTTCTTATCGGCAACACACGAGTCATCGCATATTTAATCGTGCATAATTGACAGTCGTCATCGATTAAAACACATATAAATCATAACACTAAAAAAAGTGCGATCCACATGGTGTATATAAACGTTTATTATTTCACTCCTCAAAATTTTGAAATTTAATTGCTGGTGTCATATTGGTAAGTTTTTATTCTAATTATATTTTGTCTTATCTTATTTTTGTATATATAGTATATTTTTTGGCAGTTTAAAGTTTTGACGTAATTGATAATAAATTATTCGTATAATATTCTCTTTAGCACGTGCAATATTAAAAGAGTTGTTTTCCTTGTGAAGATAACTTTTTAACTGAGTACTTTTAAATGATACTTATTTATATTGCCGAATATTAATCAGCATGTTCTCAAAACATGTTCTCGTATCGACGAAAAGTAAGGAAATTTTAGCTAAGTAATAAAAATGTTGGATGTTGGTAAATATTGAACTATATTACATCATCATAATACGTTTAGTTATCAAATTAAAACGTGAATTGGAAGATGAGAGATCGCTATTATTTCTCGTTATATAAACATGATTAATAATGCTCTTTATCTTACACAAACGTACTTATAACTGTTTTGACAATGAGATGATTGGTATTCTGTGACAATATATATTTAAAAAACTTAATTAGATACATGTACCACCAATTTTATATCAAATTAAAATTAAAAACATATTTTGTTTTTTCATATTTTATGTGCACATACTCTGTCGCTTACAAATTTTCATTTCTAATAAAGTCAATAATTTCTACAGATACTAAAACAGACCAGAATTAGGACATAGCCTTCAGTATCAATGGCACATACCTTTAGTTGCCAAGAATAATTGACTCTGACAGTGAGTTTACTGTCTCTGCTATATTTTGCCATTCAAAACACCAGTTATTTTAAGAAAATAAAAAAAATTCACCAGAATCATAAACTTATACTTAATATACGCGATGTTAATTAACATTTTACTACATTGTAAATATAGTTTGCACTTTAGCTTTTAAAGAAAGATTTAAAAACGGAAATATCCTTAGAAAACAGGAGGAAACTATTGCAGCGAGTTTGCGTTTATATGTTCAAAAAAAAGAGCTAATAAATCTGGATACAAAAGAAATGTGCCGTATCCCGTTTAAAACGATTCACAGAACAAGTACAACTACAATGCGTTCATACGTTCGCCCAATTGCGTCCAATGAAAGTTGATATACCGACAATTAGTTCATTGGCTATCAAGGCACATCAAGATGCCGTTATATGATAAATGTAATACGTAAATATATAGGTATGTCTTTGTCCTTCGTACTTGTCCTTGCTTAATTTTCGTAGAATTATGCAATTTTGAGCCGACTGTATTTTGTCCAACTCTACGCCCACTGTAGCACACCACGATTCTATTTTTTACCGAGGATGAGATTTCGTTTAAGAAAATACGTCGTTGTCGTAACGTTATAACGATCGTAAGAGATTTTCTATTACTGTCGAAATATTAAAATATTAAAATACTTTCTGCATGATATGGTAATCCTACATGCGATAAATAAGTATATTATTGCGTTTTATAAACTCACACTATGATACTTGGAAAACGCGTGATAAAATATACTACGTTACGATTCGATTTGTTTTTAACATTGTCTCTGACAATTTGCCAGTTTTTCGAGAGACTTTCAGAAGAAGAAGAGAGCTTAACCTAGTTTCCTGTGTATGTGTGTGTAGCGATTTACTTTTATAACTTCTTAGGTATACCACTAAAAAAATGTTGTAATTTTATAACTATTTAATTGAATAATTTATAGAAAAAATATATTAGATTATATCATGAATAAATTATTCAATTCGCACAAATTGCTATTGCGTCAATCAATATTTATTATTATGTTTTATATTGAATTATTTAATATGTGTTATATTTTGAATTATTTAATCTTAAAAAAATTTTTTATTTTATAAAAACTTTAATTTTAAAATATATCTATTACAAACTTTAGTTTTTTAACCTTTTATATGTTGAGTGCTTATTAATAATCTGTGATAATAACAATAACAGTATTGCAATTTAATAGCAATGAAGCACAAATTCTGTTTCAATAATGTATAATTATTTTTTTTCTGAATGGCACAAAATCACAGCACATAGTAAACTAAACTTTATTTCATCGATTAGCGTCCTTGGAGTGCACACTGTTTTCGAACCCATCTCTCAAAAATCTTCTTAAAAACTTGACTAACAAACTAAAATAGACTAATAAGTTTTCACTATACTTTCACTTCACCGATTAGCTAAATCACTCACTCACAATCAAACGTGCAGCATACAAACACGCGGCTACGTTCACATTACATTGTGAAATTAAAAGCTCCGAACGCAGACATAAATGTGTACGATAAAGATGCTTGACGATCCAATTAATTGAAGATCGATAATTAGCGATAAAACGAATAGAGATGATCAGGATAACCGGCGTGAGAAGACGAGACAGGAACTTGACGGAGGCGAGCTTCACACTGCCAGGAATAGATAGGACCGACGGATCATCGTATGTCGACTAGACGACTTGTAGTAGTGCAACGTTTGTATGTACATTTGCTAACGCACGAACACGTGGGTCCCATTTCAGATTGAGTTTAACTGCTCGATTAAGCATAAGGCATATAACAACCCGGCGCGTGCAGACAACAGTTTATACTTTACATATATGGTAAATATGTCACATTGAAGAGATTGTGAAAACAAACCTTTTCTATGTATCTTATAATCGAACTATTTCACTCGATCGAAATTTATTGGAACATTCTATTTTGCGTTTATGATACTGCAGAAGCATACACGAAAGCATGAAAGGAAATATTCACTACGAGATAACGAGAATTTCTCGCAATCAATTTAATACCATACTGCTATCTACATATTAAAGAGCAATACACACATCTTTAAAATCGAACAAATAATAATAACACGTGCTTATAAAATGGTTTTCAATTTAATTTTCAACTTACACATTTTTCCTCCTTTTTCTCGCATTTAACGAAAAACGGTTCGTCGAATTTAGTTAATTGCATTATTTCATAGTGAAATAAACAAATTCGATGACGCGATTCAAATTTCTAAGGAAAACCATGACAGCGCGCAGCGTTTCGTATGGCAACGCGCAAGGAGATGTCTCGTTGAACTACCCTTCATACTTTGCGTGTGGTCGAAACCTTTGGAAAAATCAATATCACAAACGATCGTTACAATCACGTGGCAGGATATGCAGTAATATTTAGAAGATATAAAGTTTCGATGTGGCAATATGAATTATGAATTAAAAGACTTGATTGTAACACGCGATCGTGAGTATAAATTTTGCAAAACGTTTTTTTTAATATAACAGATTTATAAAAAAGCTAGATATTTATATACATATAAAGATATGAATTTATAATTGTTTTTTTATATTGAAAATTCCAACTTTTACATGAAAAAAGAAATTTTGCTGTTGCATGACAAGCAAGAAAAATTTGTTTACTGAGATTTTTTTCGTCAACAAAATGTTTTGTTGGCAAAACATAAATTCAATAAGCTTAGCTTGCTGGTCTATAGTACCTATTCTTTTGTTATTTTAGCAAGTTTTTTTTCGTGTTTGTAAATTAATTTCAATATACACGTATATATAACAATAGAACCAAATTATATTTTTGTAAACTTTAATGACATTTTTACAAGAATACAAAATATGGTTATCACGCTTGAAGTCACTTTCCCATTTCGACACGTCTGTTTTGGATCAAGCACAAGATGTAAGTATAACATAAGTATACGTATGTAAAATTTGTCCCAAATTGTACACAGAGCCGTTTTAATCTCGAACAGACCACCCGTTATTTATTGACGCAAATCGTGAACTATGTGGTATTAAGCTACTCGAAGTATTTCCAGGCAACACATGTTAACGCTTTATATATACGTAAGCTTGTTTATATATATATTGTTTGTTTATATAAACATATATAATTTGTTCTCTGGCTGAAAGTAGTGTGGATAATAGATATCTAGGCTTATGTAACGAAACAAGCTGAAGTAGAAACTTTCAAATAAAATATGATAATATCGTTTATTTGTCGATGTTTGATATACCGACAATAAAACAAAATCCATTCAATTGCAAATATCGCATATGAAGTGTTTACACATAAAGATTTTTAATTCAGTGGAAAATATACTTACGTTTAATCCAATTGATTCAGCTAAGAAATTTCGAGCATGCTCATTTTCGTCTCTGTCGCTGTCAGTTTCCAACAAAGCCTCAGTTGGTTCATCGATGACGCTTCCCGCTTCACTTATAGTATCTTCTTCTTCTTCTTCCTCTTCCTCTGCTTCATTTTTCTTTTTTGGAAGCGGACCTTCCGCTTGTTCTTGAGCGCGAGCTTTTTCAGCGAGCAGAGTGCCGAGATTTTCAAAGAAGCCGCCATCCGATTCTTGCAGCCTACAAACATTCACATCATTTCAAATTAGTAAGCAGTTTCTCTCTACTTACGTGTTTTGCCCGTCTACTGTAACATATCTTTTTTTTATATCTTCAACATATAAGTTTTTTATATCTATAAAACTTTTTCTGCATTTCATAAAATCTCGAAAAATTGTACAAAGCATAAAACTACTTTTATACACTTATTATGTAATAACACAACATTGCATTGAACTTCTCACGCAGTTTTAACAATGTCATATGTGATTGTAAATGAATATATGTCACGTGTTGTAGGTGCTTTCAAGTAAATAATTTCACTATTTTTATTATACGAGAAATTACTGTTTATTATAAAATCATAGAACACACATTTGTCTCGATAAGACACTTGAAATAAAACGATTATGTGTCATATGAGTAAAACGCTGAAAGTAAAACGCTGAAGTAAAACGCTGAGCGAAGAAAAAAGAGAAAAAAACGAGAAAAATATACAAAAGAGTTCATGAAATAATATACTGTGAATAGTGCGTACAAATCACTAAAAAAGCATGTTTCCGAAGCGTTGCATGATTTGCTCACAAAACAACAATACTGATGTGCTAAAACACAACATACAAAACCTTTAGTTTCAGCACAAGAGATTGCACACACCATAAAACTCTTTATTTCACCTTTTATTAATATAGTTGAACGCCGCGAATTTCCAGTAACCTCTGGCGACAGTCATTTCTTTTGCTTCTGGATTTTGCGACATTCGCAAAGCGGCGATCGCATAGTAAGGATGTTTCTCGTCCAGTTTTGCGAAATGTGCCATTTTCCCGTTTTTAGTCCTTTGGCAAACACATAACACGTCTTCCGATAAAACGTTACACAGAGGAAAGCTCACGTTACGTTATCAGAAAAAAATATGTTCTCAAAATATATCACATTAATTTGTTTAATTTTGTCTTTGAAAACAACACTTTTTTTTTATGTGCAAGATCAAACTTGTAGAACTCGATGATCCGACTGAATAGTAAACTAGAACTTATGCTCACATTTTCCGAGACGACTGTTTCTTTCAAAAATCGGCAGATTATTTAAATAAATTATGATTCTCGAACAATTCGAGAAAACGAAATTTTAAATGTTCAAAACAAAAAGTATTCGGTTTCGTGGTTTTGCTTACACTGAATGTCGTAACACTGTGCTCCGATCATATAAACCGGAACTTAATTGCTCTTTCCTCATACGTAAATGGAATCTCACACGGCGGCATGAGTTGTCAGAGATTCCCACGACTGGGGATTCTGACCTACGGTTTTCTCGCAAAATTAAATCGTTTCGTATCAGATTTCACAGAACAGTGAACAATTCGAATTCAACTTGGATACAGAACAGCCTGTTTCTTTGCACGCTAGATAAGGACTCGATTCAGAAAGCAAATAAGAGATCTGCGATTAGTAGGAGGTATTAGGATCTCTGCGAGACCTACGCTTATATCAATATTCTGCAGCAGAAACGTAACTAGAATTTTTGTTACCTGTAACATACATTTGCAATTTCTTTGCTTAAAACTTGCGCATTTATGTAATTTAAAAAAATTCTAAATATACATATAATTAAATTATATGTAAAATTTTTTTCTTATACGTATTTTGATCAGAAAATAAATGTTCAACATAACGTTTTCAACATAACGTTGATTAGTCTATCTGTAACTATACCGTATTGACTTACGTATCGACTTACGCGCAATATCTGATACATAAACTTTACGATCAAGAGATAAGTGCAAATTAGTTTACACTTTAGACGTGTGGGATTTACCAAATCAATTAAGCTAATTACAAAAAACGATTTCCGTATTTGCACAAAGAGAGAAAAAGCAATGAGAGAACAACTTATTTTAACTTATTTCAGATAATGGTATTTTATAATAATCTAAATGATATAGTAAATAATAATATAATAAAATAATATAAATTCACATTTCTTTATTTACTTTATCTACTATGCGTCTTGCGCTGCAAAGTTCAGAAATAATAAAACGAGAACGTATGTTCCCGAATTACGAAGTAGAAAAAGACAAAAAAAGTAGTGTGACTTGCGTCACTGCTATGTTTCTTTTTTTTTCGAAGCAAAGCGTTGCATCTTCTCTTGTGAGCTTCTTTTATTTTTAACTCAAGAACAATGTGATTCAACGACATGCCATTCGAGTATTGGTGGTTGGTGATTTGTTGTTCGACAAACAAATGTTTGTATGATTTTATTCTTTCTTTTTTTTCGTTATCTACTTTTAACGCTTGCGGTTCATTTATCTAAATCGATGATTTAATATCGTTTTTTCTCGTCTTCCTCGTAACATCTCGTTCTTTCCGATCGAAATCTGGGAATTCCCTCGACTATTTCAACATGATGCACGCGATATTTTTGTGGTTGTGTATCGTCTAATTGTAGGGAATACGATGAAAATAGAAATAAGTATAAACTGGAGCTCACGAAAAAGTGTGTCATTAGTTTGAGGTGTACTTAATTCACATCTACTATTTGACTGTATAAAATAGATTTCAAAACCAATTATGTACACAGAAAAATTAAACTATACATACTTTATATATATAACATATATATAACATGTACAAAATAATAATATGTACAAAATAATATAAAATTATAAATAATATAAAATTATGAATTTATGAATTTATGAATTTATGTACATACGTACATATATATGTACATATCGAAAAATCGCGATACATACAGTACAATCAGTATGTCATTTATTAATCGGATTACACCTGACCAAATTCCTTCGCACGGATAGTTGATTTCATGTCCCTCACGCAACGTCTGCAGTTAATTATCTCTCACAAAGACGCTGGGAGGCAATCATGAATCATATAGTGTTGCACACCGACCTTGAGCGCTAGATCTGGTGAAACGGCACGTATATGTGTACACGCCGTTTCACAGACACACCTATATGTTTTATATATACATATAATGTTTGAGCTCAATACACATGTAACGACACACACGTGTTAACTTCTCTTTTGAATATTACTTAGTCTTATTCTATTAATAGATCCTACACGTACACGCAATTTACTTTAATTTGGTATTACATATTACGTTTTTAAATAATAAGGATGCACGTAATTGTCACATTGCATATTTAAAAAGTGCTTCACAATATTACCTCATTCTTATTAATATGCATGTACTAATCTGTCTTTCTTCTTCTCTTTTTCTCTTTCAAGTTGAATATTATGATATATGTCATCATGTATGTGAGATTAATTTCCTATCACGCATGTTTCTTCGCGATAATTACAGTATTAGTAACATCTCTTAATCTCATTGTATTACAATTTAATTTTTTAACATTTTAAACACTGCATATGTGTGTTATTTTTAATTATTCTAACAATAATTTATATATTCTTACAATTTACAACAATATATAATCAAAGATATACATGTGTTACGCATCATTAAGAATCGATATAAGAAACGTCGAAACGTGCATGACGCGGACATGTTTCTTTACCTGATCTCATGCTCGGATTGTTCTTGTTGCTCATTTTCTTTTGCCAGGTTCTCTTCCACAATCTTTTGGTAAAAGTTTTTCCACATGACTTCCTCATCCATTTTCACAGTTAATTTCTTTAATTTTGTCTTTAGCAATAAATAATACGTATGTGTGTGTAACACTTTTTGTGTAATTCTATATTTTGCAAAATATGCACCGTTGTCTGCTTCGTTTACAATTGTATTTAATTAACAATGTCTATTGTATAAAACATTTTATATACATATGTATATGTATTTTAATCGCGCACTGTCACAACGAGATTATTTGTCACTTGTATTGAGATTGTACATGATGGAAAAGTTGACATGTGTTTCACAACAACAATATGCCGGCGGGCGTTAAGACCAATATAGCTACGAAAGGTACGAGTGGTACGACTGTATAAGCATTCCGTCCCATTTTTACTCACGAATGGAGGATTGATCATTTACTCGTACTTATTGAACATCCAGTAGATGGCACCTGTTGTCAAGCAAGTGTATCTCTTGTTCAGAACATATTTTACAAAGCTGTATATTTTTAATAACTACTTTTAATTTTGCAAATGTTACTTTTATGATTTCTTAAAAAGATTCTATTCTTCAAAACCTATCTTAGAAAAAAAAAATATTTTCCTCTTTAAAAAAGTAATAATATAACATTTTGTAGAAAAAAATGATATGAAAAAATGTCATTCAACTGTAATAATTTCCTTATTTCTTTGTATCTTATTTATTCATTTATGTTTTAAATTTTCTTATAAGTCAGAATTAAAAGATCAAAAATATGTTGAATATGTCACGTGCTTATATATTTTTTCTCATCAACATCAGATATTGATGTACCAAATAGAGAAGTAATAATTGAATAAAGAAGTTTCATTAATATACATATACAAGAAATGTTTTATTCGTTCTTTATTCTTTTATCTGTGACTCTTATCTTTCACAGTTGTGATGTTAGACTACTTTAAATAGTCAGTCGCGAGTCAGTCACGAGATGCTATATAGTTGTGTGATTCACATTCGCGGAGTTTATTCTGCCGTCTCGATGACATCACCTCTGTTATGCAGGTGATATTTTTCTCCCGCAAATACGTCAACAATTAACGTCAAAGAATTATTAACGCAAACAATGTAATCTATGCGCATTTTACACAATTTAAAAGTTGTTCTGATTTGTGCCGCATAAAAATTTACTGTAACAAGGAAGTATCACGTTGTCTTCAAAAATAAAAAACAAATAATATGTTTCATATGTTTTTAACCGAAAATTTATATTGCAAGAGCAAAACTAATTGCTACTAAAGCACTGATATAATGGAATATATAATAAGCAACACACTTTGTGGAATAACGAGCACATAAAACATTTGATGTCACTCTGCGTCAACAACACGATGATTGTTAATATATGAACATCAATTTTATATTTCTTGCGATCCTATAATTCATCGTGAGCAACCGGCAAAAGTAACGCACACTTTATTAACAATTTTAACGAGAAAATGAGAGAGACCACAGTACCTCTCTGCATGGAATTGATTCCTGGCAAACTACTCACACTGGTGTCGCGATCGTTGCAGTGCATGAACGCAGACGCGTTGCGTCGCCATTCCGCTACATACTGCAATTGTATATCTATAGATATACGAATATATGTATAGTATATATATATATATATATATATATATATATATATCGTTAATAACGCTTAACTATTAATTATGTTTCATGTGTTTAGTTACAATTTCACAACTATTAACTGTAAAAAAACAAAATATTTGCGTTAAAATATATACATGTATACATGTATATATGTACACATTATATATATATAATAATAACAATTATATATATATATTGTTGTAAAAAATGTATAAAAATTTTCCACTATGTTTTCTGAAAATAACTTTGCAAATTTTTATTATATTCTCAATCGCCAGTGTGTAATAGGTTTCCGAATCCTCACAATAATTACACACTAAGTAGCAATAAAAGTTTGATTATTACGCATGACAAATGAATTTCAAATTATTACAGTTTATTGTGGCATAGATCACGTTTAATCTTGACATTTTTGCGATACCGTAAATAGTGATAGTATCAGCGCTTGTCTCGTCTTTAACGTTTATGAGATAGCCGCTTGTGTCTGACATTTACAGTCATGGTAAAATGGATAGTCGCACTTTACATATGCCCGTTTGCATCGTATTACTACACAGTCAGGAAAAATGCACGGAGCTATCATTATCCTCTATTTCGTTGGTATGCAAAGCACTATAAAAAATTACATACTTATTAAATTCTTAATAACAATAGCATATACATATAATGAGACAAAATTAAATTTTTTTTATCATTAGTTACTTATATTATTATAATTGCATTTAGTAATAGACATACATAATAACATTAGAAAAACAATAATCATGTTGATATTACTCTCGTTATGTCATTTACACATATAGTAAATTTTCTAGTTGAAACAATAGGCGGACATGCAACACATGTAACGCCAGCAAAAATTATCGGAGGACAACCAATCGACATAAAGCATCGACCTTTCATGGTTAATATTATTTTTTATGCTTATATATAAACAATATATAATACATATAAATAATTTATATATAGTGTATATCATTCATATTAAAATCTTCTTAAAATATATATATATATATATATATTTGCAGCTCTCTTTGCATAATTCACAAGGATTTCTGTGTGGTGCCAGTATATTAAGAAAGTCATGGAGTATTACTGCTCTTCATTGTTTGTAATAAACTATATATAATATTATGAAATAATAATTCCTGTTATATTTAGTAATTTTTTGCATATATCGTCATACAATTATGTTAAAACTAATTTGATGGCAAATTTACAGATTTGAAATCTAAAATCTATCTTTTGTAATTTTGACGTCATAAATCCTTAGGGATACAACATCGCCTACAAAATACTATGTACGAGCTGGATCCAATAAAACGAATACAGGAGGATCTGTGCATAAAGTAACGAAAATTTACGTGTACAATGATTCATATATATCTTCGTTTTCAAGTGTGCCATATCACGATATCGCACTAATTAAAGTAAGCCCACCATTTTGTTTCTCAAGAAACATTGCACCGATTCGTCTGCAATTTTTATCGACAGAACCACGTTTATTGTTTATTAGTGGTTGGGGACAAACTGAAAAAGTGAGGCGCTCAAATTGCACACGTAAAATTTGATGTTAAAAACATTTAGGTTAAAAAAACCTAAAACTTACGTACATGACTGCACATATCGTCAATTTATTATGTAATAATAATTTATAGGAAAAGAAAGCCAAAACTCTCATGAGTGTTCGAGTTCGGCATGTTCCATACGAAACTTGCATTAAAACCAGTTCAATATATGCAAATCTCGTCAGAAAAGACAATCATTTATGTTATGGAACTAGAGGACATGATGCCTGTTACGGAGATTCTGGTGGACCATTGACCAGTTGGAGAACACTGTTTGGTATTGTATCTTTTGGTGTCGGCTGTGGAAAAGTGACTGGTGTCTATGTCAAAGTATCATATTATCAAACATGGATTAGAAAAGTAATATTAGGAAAACTATAAAATTACACATGTAAAATAAATGAATGTTTTCTTTTCTGTGATTAGTTATTGTAGCTTACTTATATTTTTTTGTTTTTGAAATTTCTCATGGATTACTTGTTAACAATGTTTGATAATGCACACGCAATTACACACACACACACACACATTTATTAAAAATATAACAAAGTGCTGCGTTATTGTTTAACTTGTAAATTACAGTAGTCAGAAATTTAATAAACTATCTAATAAAATGTTTGGATTCATGTATTGTTGAACGTATGAACAAAAAAATTAACGTAGATAATATTCGACAAATATCGCGTCACTGAAAAAGAGCCTTGTGTTGTTATCCGGGAAAGTACTGTTTCCAACAGAATAGGCACAAAAGGCATATCGAATCACGGAGTCATGAACCCTTCTGCGTTCAGGTTCGGTGCGTGCAGGAAGTCTACCACATACACGCGCTACGCAAGAGTATTGCACACGCGACGCACGTAGCGTTTGGTTCGTGTAAAGCTGAACAATAGGTACACCGTGACCACATAATGTGCGTGATAAATATTTAGCTGTATGTGATAATGATAATTATTTCTAGCTTATAATGATTGTTTTTGAACTATAACAAGAGAGAAAAACAAATCAGGTGTCTTTATATATATCTTTAAATTTTTTTACTACGTGATTCTTACGTGATGAAACAACAGATTATTTGTTTAATATCAACGCGGTGTAATACGTGATGCTACGGATATATAAAAGCGTATTTCTATTGTTAACATTTACAATCCATAACATTGTATAATCAGAAATGAAAAATATTAAAATTAATAGCTCATATAATTAATTAACAAATGTCTTTATGTTCTTTGCGGTTTTTTATTTTATTCCATAATAATTAACATTTTTTTCTCCTAAAGTTTTATAAGCTATGACTTTTTTCTTTGGCTTGTAAACTTATTTAATAAAATTAAACTTATTTAATAAAACTACCGAAGAGTTAAAAAATTGTATGGTAAAACTTGTATGAGACAGGTGAAAAATATTGCGTGATTACGTAGTCTTTTGCTGTTTACTTGATCATACACAAGAATGACTCATCCGTTTCCCTGAGTGAAGTGAGCCACTACCAGATTATCCGTTCGCGCTTCTAAGGGTCTTTAAACTCCCCTGCCACGTGCAATCTATCGAGTGTCTTTGCAGAAGACCGTGAGAAATGCAGACCAACCCGTCACATTCGACAAAAACGGTGTCTTTGAACATATCTTCTAAGACAGTCTTACGGTTTTATGTCGCGTAATGATGTGACTATCGCGCGTTTTTATTTTTTTATTAATGTACTATTTTGTTAGTAAGTTGAGAAAGCGCTTTTAATCATTACGACAACTTTCCTTTTCAATCATAAAATAAACATTTTTATTTTAGAATACTTGTTTAAAAAAATTAACAAGCGCATAAAGAAGTAAAAATTTTTACTTTTTTATTTTTACTTTTACATCTGTTTTTCTAAAACAAAAGAATTATATAAGTATAAACATTTATACTCACCTTTTACATGGTAGAGGATAAATTTTAGTGCGAATATTCTTCAAAATCTCACGACGAAGTTTTAAGAACCAAGCACTGCTGCATTTTGGGCTACAGTATTTTCTCGCGGTAGTATTACTTTGCGCACTCTCGACAATCTCCTGATAAGTTATGTATTCCCAATTTGCTTCATTATCTAATAGAACGGGCAATTCTTTGGTTGCTATCAGAATGCAATCCTCGGAATTTGTAGAAGACGAGTGTCCGACGTTAGCCGATGCAAGGTACTTTTTCCGACGAGTATTATCGACGTTATTCGACTCGATCGAAGAGTCAGTCATAATCGATAAATTTCTGTTAGCCAAATATTCTTCTTTACAGACAGAAAATGATGTTAGCATGTTGTAAAATATTTTCTTTGTTATTTTAAATCACTTTCAAGCAAGTTTTTTGCACACCAAATGTTTTTCTTATGAAATCTTAATTTTACAGAATTGATCAATATAGTATTTGAAAGTACTGCCTACTTGTAGATTATCTTGTGTCTCGACATTCGCAAATTTTAAAACACAAACTTCCTTAAACATATTTGCATTTATACACGTGCACTGATGCTATAAACAGTAAAGATTATCTTTTAATATCAATATTAATTTATTTTGATATTGTGCGACTTTGCGTTGTAACACTAGAAATTACTTGACTAAAGTCGTTCATTTTGTATGCGAATCCTACGAAGGAAAAAGTAATACTGAGCAGTTTATTCTCGTGCCACCAAGTACCCACTCTCACTGGGAATGCCAACTGATTATACTCGCGTATTCTAAAAGAGGGGACGTATGACTACTAATAACTTTCTTTTATTAGATGTTAACAAATTATTTCTTTTATCAAGTAAGTAAAAAGATCTTTATTATTAAACTGAATTTTAAAAAAATGTTTGTTTCTAATCTTAGCTTATATCTAAAAACCATATCTCTGGCTTTACCGCAATTGTGATTAAAATATATTCTTGGGAATCCCATGCAATATCCGTTGAAGTAAGATAAAAACCATTGACGATATTGTGGTTTCCGGTAATGTATATTTTTGAGTTTCTATTATCACTTTGATTTTGCATTTGTTCATATCTGTTTCCTGTGTATATATATATATATACACACAGAATTATTTTATAGTAAAATATACATATTATATATAATATATAAATATATAATATATAAAATATATCTATAAAATAAATCTCTATTTTTATATAAAAGCCGGTTAGTTGTTAATATGTTTACAAGTAGTTCAGGGAACGTGAATATTAATTATGTACAGAAAACCGTAAGTATATATACAGGCAACTTCGTATATCGTTCTTACGGAGAAATTTAATTAACCTTACTTGATCTTATAAAGCTATAAGTCGACTCTCTCGTACGTGATGTGCAATAAAAAAGTAACTTTAAGTATACATATCAATATATACAAGTGTTATATAAATATATATATATGTATATATATGTTACGAATTAGTCTATACTTTTTTAGCAGAGATAATTGAGATAAAATATTATTGATTTATTCACCAACATTTGCATCTAATAATAACATATACAATATAAAAAAAGTCGCAACTATTTTTCTAATTTTTGCAATTAAAAGTGGGAATCGTCAAGATATTTGAAAATAGCACTTACTCGATGCTGGACAAATGCAGCAGTGCACGAATTGACTTCTTCGGTATGTCCTGAAGTCTTTCATTGCGATGTTTATCTTCATTTTCGGTGCGTTTCCAAAACCACCACGAGGAAAGCATTTGACGAATATGACAAAATCTGAACTTTCACAAAGAATAAAATGCGTGACTGTAAACGTTTTTCAATCTTATTGTTTTAACACGTTAAAGTACGCAAAACTGTGGAAAAACGATCTCGCGTTTCGCGCAAAAGTATGATTACTGACAACGTCAAAGCATCATGTCGTTATGCAAGAAAATAAAATCTACAGGTGTGGAAACGTAATTGCCAGTAAAGTGCACGTTAGTGCGCATATTAATTACGACTCTTGGTTGAAAAAGAAAAAAATATAAACACAACAATTGCGGACAGCACAATTGCAGGCAAAGTGAATAATTTTAAGTCAAAGTTTTAGCAACATTAGAATAGAAATATTGCTTATGGCGTTTCTGTTCATATAACACGTAAGTATATAATTTACTTTATTATAATTAGACAGATAAAATCTTAATTTTTTAAAAGATAATAATATTAATAAACGTTGAATAAATATCTATAGTACAATATTATTAACAAAATATTTAATGATAAAAACACTTATTTAAAAGACAAGACGTTTTCTTTTATTATCTGCTGCATTTGTGTTATATGTCACGATCTCCTTTAACTCAAAGTTATTATATTTAATATATATATATTCAAGATAGAATATATATTCAAAAGAGACTACGTACAGTGGTAGATGACAGCTTTCTCTCTCTCTCTTTCTCTCTCTCTCTCTCTCTTCTCTTTCTTTCTCGCTCTCTCTTTCTTTCTCTTTTTCTTTTTTTAGTACAGGATTTTTATTACGATCCTTTTTTAGAGTAGAAGGAAAGTTGAGAACTTTGCTCGGTTTCTGTCTAAATTACGTTGTAGCGCTGCTTATTACATACTGAGTTTAGCGAGTTATGAAAATAGCTACACCACAATAATTTCATTGTATTTAAAACGCCGCAATACTTCAATTAAAAACTTTTACGTTTAATACGCTACAATAATGATAAAGAAGTCTGTACTTTGCTTGAGTCTGTATATAACATAAGATATTTAATAAAAGTTTTATTCTCGAAACAAACCGTGAACTATATTCACATTTTGCAAATACGCAAATGTGCCTAATTACTGATTTATTATATCATACACCGTTGCTTCGGGGAAAATATCACATATCATTTGTTCTAAGGAACAATTATCTCATCGTCATTTAAGCAGTTCCTCGTAAAATAACGCATACTTTTGATTCGCGTAATGAAACCATAACTACTACATTATTAAAACAAAGCACACGCGCTTACTACCTTTCTTGTCTGATGACGCTATCATCTCTGACCGAAAGTATCTCCTTCACGTTTAAGAAGCTCGACCCATCCCGCGCGTCAAAAGCATCCGGTATATCCTTACCGCTCGCGTTTTCACCCTCGTTTTCGACGGATTCCGGGCAGAAAGCTCAGCCGGTTGGATTCACGGGGGTGGATTGAGACATGTCGGGGTGTGGCCGGTTCTAGGGATTAACCCCCGCTGACAGCCAATCATATCCGAGACAGCCCCACCAGGTGGATGACTGCGAAACCCGACTGAAACTGTCGCACTCCCTCGCCATCCCTCGTAACAACCCCCACCGCTAATTGCCTTGGCTTTAATATCGCATGTGGAATGAAAGCTAGAAGAGGAGAACGAGGAGAAGGAAGAGGAAGAAGAGAAGGAGGAAGAGGAAGAGGAGGAGAGGGTGGAGAAGGTGGACAAGGTGGCAAGGGGAATCAGGGTGGTAAAGGGGGATTGTAGAGGATAGTAGCGCCGGTTGTAAGGCAGCGGAATACTATAGAGCCAGGAAGGGAGAAGCTGCTTTGTATGTGTCGATCGCAATACCTACGTTCCTGGGCTGTTCGGGATGGAAGGAGGAAAGCGGGGAATTGCGTATAGGACTATGCGTTCGAGAATTTTACGCTCAAGCGTATGTAACGGAACGAGCGCATGATTAAGCCATAGATCATTCCCGATACAGATTCAATTTGGTAACAATAGATAGTACGGTTACTATTTACCGTCGAAATTGATATTTAGTTAGTAGTTAATGATCCTTCATGTCGCGACTGGTGGTTATCGCGAATATAGAACCATTGAATTTTCGTAGTTGATAGATTTAAACCAGTTAATGACTGATACGAATAACGCGAGAACTTTACGAGAGTCAATTCTAATCTATCATTGTATTCAGATATACGTGATTTTGTTCATGAATAACGAAAAAAAATGCAATTATTTACACGTTATTTGTGAAACAATGTTAGAATGTTTTACGTGTTTATTTTCATTATTTTCGCGTGACAAGTTAAGAAATATTTTGCATTCAGTGATGTTTAAAAATCTTTATTTCATAAAAAAATCTGCGATATAAGAAAAAACTTTACGGATTCAATAAATCATCAACGCGCGATTAAATTTGCTTATTCGAGTGTTTTTATCCTATATCTTTGCACATATCGAACCCAGTTTGTTAAGGCGAATTGAAGTCCCGCCGAGTCGCCGTTGCCTTATATATTGGCTCGTAAGGGTGGCGCCTTATAAAGCGGAGCAATTATCCGAGTAAAATACTCTACGAAATTTCCGTGATAAATTTCAGGCCGTAATAAGGGTGAGTCGCAAGTCATTTGGACGACGTTCAAGAGGGTAAGTATTGAGCTTCAATAAAAATTCTTTTAGATTCCTACATCGCTGGTTGGTCCGCTATTTAATTTATACATGTGTTACTAATTTTATCCGATTCTGCTTCTACTTTCCCTCTTTTATCAGAAAGATTATAAGTGTTTCATTTTCAATCAAAAATATTTTACTTCGATTTAAAATAAACTTTTTTTGTAGCAAAGTTTTTATGCTTAAGATATATTACAATGTAATTACAAACTGGTTTCTAAAATAGTTAGAGCATAGCTGAAGTAAATTTGGAATTTATGGCTTAATTTTAACTTCATAATGGCTTTTCTAGCGCAAAACTTTTATCAAGTGTTATTAATGCATGCGGTTATTAATTGGTGAAAGCTGTATGTGTAAATTTATTAATGACATGATGATATCATAATGTACACTTAAGTTTTTTTTAGTTGCGGAAAAAAAAGAATTACATTAATTTTATTTGAGAAGCACATCGTCCTAGTATAGAAATTATAAGACTGTGTGCGCAGAAAATCAACATGTTGATGTAAAATACTTTAACGTAATTAAGTTCTTAACCTTGAGAGTAACCTCCTTAGAGGTTTTCCAAGGTACTGAAATTCCCGCATGCCCGTCAACGTCTAATGAGGGGATTGTGGATGAAGTTTCAGTTTTTGGCATGAGGCAATTAAGGTGAAGACCTATTTACCTCGACGTCTTTAGAATATGCTAATAATGACGCTCACCGTTTGTTGCAACCATGTCAATCGTAATTCGATGTTGTAACAAAAACTGTACATATATATTTAAATGATATATTCAAAACTACTTATTTAGAATAAAAATGTAGAAACATGGCACCTTATTTTTTCACTATTTGTTTATTTAAAAAATATTACTCTTGCGCGAGAATAAATATTAAAAAGTATTTTAAAATCTTTTCCTCATTTTACTTGAGTACTCTCATAATTATAGTTTATATTCTTATTGCAATATTGCCGTCTATACATGTAATTGGCTGAAGAATTTTTCGAGTTGGTGCGAAATTTCGCAAGATAAATTGCGTGGAATTCCTCCCGATAATCCATAGTACATGAACTTTTCGGTGTTGAAGACTATCTCAATTCGAGACGAAGTAAGAAAGATCATCTGAACAAAATTAAACTCCTCATCATCATTAGAACCTAATTACTGAAAGGTCTGAGACGCGGATGACATCGGTGAGACGAGCGGCCGCCGAAGCAAGGCGCCGCCGACTATACATACGCCCACGCACGCGCTCATCTTCGCTCTCCGAGAAGCGTGGTGGTGTCTGCATGAGCATCTTGAGAAGTAAGCTACGCGTCTACGGTCCAGGCGAGAGCTTATTAATGGATACCCCCGCGAGGTAGGAGAGAGTACGCGGAATAACGACGAGAGGAAGAACGGGCTTGCGATCCGTGGTGGATGCTGGCTGGGTAGCTCGAGATAGACGGTAGAAAAAAGTAACAGACTCCCCGCAAATAACCCCCATGGTGTTCGCGGTAGGCGTGTCCCGGAAACGGAGTGATGGCAGGACTCGGCCAACCAGAATTCGCCAGCGACGCGCGCCCCAGCCTTCTCCCGCCGAATGAAAAAATATTGACCGTATGAGGGGGATATCCTGCGGTCCATTTGGGGGTTGCGGAGGTGATACGTAACGGTCAACTGATTGTTACGGGAGATGGTAGGGCAAGTGGGGTTGTACGAGCGGGTGGCGGGTGAATACCCCCCTCGTCACGTACGGGATCATTAGCTAGATATCCTTGGTCTCGTTGGCCAACCCTATCCGATAGCGGTGATCTTCGTGCTTGACATCATTATCCTTGGATACTCCGAAGCGCCAACCCGATTCGACTTCACCTCCTCAGAAGCGCCCTCGTGATTCGGTCTTCCGATACCGCTCCGTTTTCTTCTACGTTTCTTCTTCGCTTTTTTCATTTGTTCATTGTTTAATTTAAATTATTCGAGATATACATATAATACACCTGTTGTTATTCAGTGAACCTGCTTTCAAGATTTTCGAAACTTGTGACAGTGCGCAAATTTCTTGTAACAGAATAATAGTTACGCGGGAAATAGCAGTTAAAAATGTTGTGGTGATGTAAAACAAAACAACTTTCGATTCTTCGGTGTGAATATAATTATTGTGAAAAGTATTGCCGTTCTCTGCAGGAAATTCGAATACAGTGATGAACACCAGTTTTGACTATTGTGAGGAAGAACTCCTTGAATTTACTTAACCAATTGCTGTTTATATCTTTTTTCTTTCTTTGCAAAGATAAGACTGTGATTAAATGGTGCGAATACAATATTGCAGAAGAAAGAAAATCTGAAGAAAACTTGAAGATTGCGATTCTTCTCACCGAGAATTATAGACTGTTTTTTTTTTTTTTTTTTTCCAACAAGAAACAACAAACTCACTTTATACTATTTACAATATGATGACAGTATAATGTCAACGACAAGCTATCTGAGTTCTCGACGGTCGAATGTCTAAACAACACTGTCCGCAATATTAGGGTGCAACGAGCAACGAGAGATCGCGTATACAAACGCGTATCACAGCATCGAAGAATCGCACAATGGAGACGAATGATCCGTCGGGTAGATTAGCGACCGAGGATTTGGACTGCATTAGCGACAGCAATCACTCGGAATCTCAGTTGAGAGCTTTTCAAAATTACGAGCGCATCAAGGAACTGAATTTATCTATCGACAAGACCAAAGACGATACGGAATCGAAGGATCTTCATCACAGTCTTGAAAGTGGCGGCAGAGCCGCTTCCTTTCGATTCAACGAGTTTCCGTGCGAAAGCCCGGCGAGAAATCTCGCCATAACGTTAAACAAAACGAAAGATTTCAGTTATTCCACTAACAATTTAAGCGAGCTGAACTATTCGTTGGACAGATCGAACGAGAGCGAGGAATCGGCGGACGCCTCGTCGACGCTTTGCAGATTAAAAACTTCCGCGGCCAAGAACATGCTGTTTAATTTACGCGAAACAAAACAAAAGAGTCCTCACGCGTCGTTATCCTCTCTCGATAGATACAGCAAGGATCTGAATTTTGTGATGGAAAAGGAAATGAAGGATTTCAGCCTGCTCAAGAATTACGGTCTCGCTGATCGCATGAAGGAGTTCAATTTCTCGCTGGACAGAATGAGAGACGGTCACATCAGCAGTCTAGCCCTCGAGAGACTGCGCGGCGGCAACGGTCTGCTCGAAAATTCCGGCGTGCTTGAGCACAAAGAATTCAGAAATCTGCAAGTGCAGCCGAGAAATTCCGATCTCGAGGCCATAGCTTTGGAACGTGTGAGACGATCGCATCTGTTAGGCACGGAATTGTCCGCGCAAAACTTAACGACGCAAATGTCGCATCCGCATTCGATTACACACATGCAGCATTCTCAACAGCAGCAGCAGCAGCAAGCCAAGTCCTTTACTATCGACGCGATTCTGGGTCTGAGAAATAATCAACGAGAAAAGCGCAGTCAACAGCAACAGTACAGGAAACATCAAGGTATTTATGGTTTTTTTATTCAGAATTCGATTAATCGTTATCCATCTTTCTCAATGACTTACAATGAAGAAATTGTATTTTTTTAAATATTATTTTTAATCATTATTATATATATATATGTATATATACTTTTTTTATTTATATGTATTTTTAATGCTACTTGATTAAGCGTATAAAAACAATAGAAATGCTCCAACATACTGTGTGAACTAGTTGCGATTACGAATGAGACCTACAACCGACTTCAGACTTTGACTTTCAGTCAAATTTTAGTTTTTTGTCGACTATAAATGTCAAAAGTATCCAAATTGTTTATGTTGAAGTAATGACATTCAGAAGCTTTTAAGTTTCTATACTCGCGAGGTATCATATGTGTGTGTACAAAAATTAATTTTCTGTTATAGATTTATTATCACATTTAACTTATCTCGGGATACGCGATTTAACAGAAAATTTAACCTATCACGCAGGTGTGTTAATAATTTTGTTAACTCGTTAAATTTCTACATTATTTTATGTTGTTAAAAACTTTATGTGTCTGGATTTAGTTATCATTCAATTTTTTTCGGCGTGGATTGTGATCGAACGGTTTTTCGAATTGTATTTGATTCTTCACACTTGTCTCTTATCTTTTATCTCTGTAGGACAAGAAGGCTTAACGAAGAACGGTAGTTCGAGTTCCGGTTCCAGTGGGGGCGGGAAGGTAAAGAGAGTGCGAACAATTTTTACGGCTGAACAATTAGAACGTCTCGAGGGTGAGTTCGCACGTCAGCAATACATGGTGGGTCCTGAAAGATTGTACCTTGCTCACGCGTTGCGACTAACCGAGGCCCAAGTCAAGGTCTGGTTCCAGAATCGCCGCATCAAGTGGCGAAAGCTTCACCACGAGCAACAGACACAGAGAGTGCACGAGTTTCAGCGCACGTTGAATTCCTCATTAGAACACGAAGACAGCAACGAAACTGATAAATGGTGAAACAGGAATCTGTAACGAATGCATTTCTTCTCGTTTTCTCATTGTAACCTTCACCTCCTTTCTTTATATATATGTGTATATATATATATATATATATATATATATATATATATATATATATACATATGTATATATATAAGCACATACTATTTTGTTTCTTTCATCACACTAAGGAATCGAGAAGAGACTTTAAACGTGCACAGTTGTCGATTTCTTGAGGAAATATTGTTTCCGATAATTGCTCTCACAAAGCTTCTCGAGCACATCGCATTTTTCTGTACCCACTCTTTCCTCTGGCTAATTGTCTTGCCGGATCTTAATGTTATAGCGTGAGATTCAAATATTATTTGAAAAAATTGTACATATACTGCAAATTGTGACAAAAAAAATAACGCGGCAACTAACGTTGACTTGATTGTAAATTTTTTTCTATTTATTAAATAATTGTTTTTAATCTCTTTCTCACACACGCACGCCATATATATATATATATATACACTCAAAAGTTGTGAAAAAAAGCGACGTGTTTAATAAAATATATCGCATTTTTACGAATGATATTTACGACGAGCAAATTGCTGTCGTAAAAAGTGCAAAACATACTTGAGTCAAATTTGAATGTGTCAAAGAAACGATAACTGATATGTTGGTAAATAATAATAAGAAAACTTGTGCCAAAGATAAAAGCAATGTAAATAGAAATGTATTAAATATTAAGGGAATTTTATGAAGATGATGAAAATTCGATGTTGGACAAGATTTAACTCTGCTTTTGACGCCATCTAATTACCCACCTAAATTATTTAATAAACAAAATGGAACAACCTGAAATAAACAAGATAAAATATACTTTGCCACATAAATCTATTCGTTCTACAAAACCACCCGTTGATGTTAGAGTTCCGCTTGACGCATATTGGAAATATACTCAGAGAAACAATCAAGATGTCAATGATAAAAACAGCAGGTAACGCTTGATAAAAATGGCAATGTCAACAGCAAACATATTATCCGTGACAAAAACTTATTAAAACAGCAATTGCCTGATTTCTAGACGAAGTCATCCGAATTCTATGACAGAACCAACGGCGAGCTACTATTCCTCCACAAATTCTTACAAGACTCCTAAATCTCATCATCTGTATCCGATTCATCCGAAATATTTGTCAGCTCTTCACACGAAAACGCTACAGCAATATCAAGAAGCTACTATGAAAACTGGTAGAAGTAAAGATTACAGCGTTACAAACAAAGATCGGTGTAAAACCGAACAGGAGGAGGATAACAACGTAGGATATACGGACGAAGAACTAGGAAATTTCACAGAAGATAATTTAGAAAATGATGTCGAAGAGAGGGAAGGTACAGAATAAAAAATTCATAGATCCGATTTCTCTAATATACTTAGAAAATAAAACAAAAACGGATAAATAACAATTTAAAGCGGATAAATGTTTTTATGTTCAAACGGAAAATGTTAAATACCAACTCCGCATTTAGTTGATAAAAATGAAATATCTGCTCAACTTAGCAGAAAACAATCGAGATAGGATAAGCGAGTGTCTCGATAAGGAGTATGATGAACAGGAAGTGGACGACGAGATAGACGAAGAGTCCGATGCACCTGCCGAAACACACATGATGCAAGAACAAAGTGCAGCCAAAAAAGACGCATTGCTACGAGCGCAGCAACGATTGCGTGCGATTAACCAGCAAGATCCGCACAGAATTCGTTATTCTCAACACTCACCACAACTGTATCAAGCTCGTCCTCTAGCGACAAGGTTCGTAACAATGTTTTTTTCTGCATAGAAAATTGTTCTTTCACAACATCTTCAGTTTAACAAGAAACAATGTTTAACTTTCTTAGCGAAAAGAAAACTACAGAAAAAGAGGATTCTTTGTCATTTCTTACTTACACAATAGATTGAAAATAATTTTATTTTCTTATTTCTATTTTTGCTTCGTGTGTGTAATTTAGTTTCCGACTAGATCTCAATTTATGCCAGTTTAAGCGTAACACTCTGTCCATTTGAAGCTAATAAAGAACTTTGGACCAATCGATTATATATCATCAAACAAAGTAGAATGAATCAAGTTAGAGGTATGGACGCGTACATTAATGCGTAATTAAACTCTATGATAAATTATCTGTATTATGCTTTTGATATCCTCTTTAATTATATATAATCATTATACATCAAATTTCCACCAAGTACCTGTGTGATTAGATACTACAGCAATATACCTGATCATGACATCTACGAAGTATTGTCGGACGAAGATCTGTACACAGTTCAGGCATCGAAAAATCCTCCACGCAGATCGTCAACGCGCTATCCTCAAAATTGGATTCCGCAGAGAAGTTCGAACGATCGATACAACACAACAATCTCGCCGACCCAGCTGAATCGTCGACCGCGACCAAGACCGGAAATCAAGTCCTTCATCGAAGCAGAATTTGTCGACAGAAGAAAGTGCAGCCGTTGCGGTAATATCTCAATTAGGAAATTGCCACCTTTGCAAACGAACAAATACAAATTTCAGGACAGTCCCATTTTTCCGGCTAAAGAATATTTCGGTGAGAAAACGAAAAGTTTTGTTTTATTAAAAGTGTACATATGACATATGTTGTACATTAAACATGATTGATTAAATTATTCGGTTCTTTTCAGGAAACGACGCCGAGATTCTTGACCAACCGTTGTGCGGATATTGCAAGCCAAAACATCACGTTGTAGAAAACACGAGACATTTGACATGCGAGATTCCGTCATCGGTTCCGCACTCGATGAAATTGCGACGTTCCAGGGATGCTACTAATACACCAATACGTGAAACATTAGAGGGAAAACACGCAATGAACGAATTATCGCATGAATACGCGCGAATTCCATCGAAATGTACCAAAGATACTCTAAATAGTTCACGTGACAGGATCAGACACTCAACCAGAACGTCCGCTCGTTATGATCTTTAAATATTTTTTTTCAAATTTTATAAGTTTGCGTGGAAAATGATAAAAACAAGTCGGTGTCTTACAGACACATTACATTGTTCTTCTCGACAAAATCTTTATTTTCTATAAAATGTAAGAAAATAACGACTTTCAGAAATTAACTCTTTGAATAATGTTTAGAAGTAACCTGTGTATGTTAAATAATATCTATATATATACATATAATGTCTCATCGTTAATTGAAGAGAATGTAAGTATAGCTTACTGCGTTTTTTTACGAGAGACAAAATACAAGCAAAGGAAACTTCTAAAATATTAACACTGCATCTTTACAAGACTCGATCTTTTATTAAATTGTAGTGATATATTCTAAAAGACACAGATACACGCACACAAACACACAAAGCCCTTGAAGAAAGATCTAAAGAAACAAAGATATTGCAAAAAACAAATTATACAATAGATAGAAGATGTCATTGCACCTTGCTACAATCACACAGATGCGATCTACACTAATATATTTCTATCTCTACATTATGCAATTTTCTTTTCACCAGTTGTGCAATATATATTTTTGTAACTGTCTTTCGAATCGTGTAGATGTACTTTGTGTGTAACGTGATAAGAAAATTATGCCATAAAATCAAAAAACATTTAGTTTCACACTGTACATACAAGTCAAAACAATCAACCGTTAAAAAAAAAAAACCGATACAGAAGCGATTTAACATTTCCTCTTTTCCACATGTAATTCTCTAAAGAGATATAAAAATGAACATCACTTTTACATCTTTTGGCACTGGAGCTCCAAATCTCTCAATTGTAAATACGTGATATTATTATATAATTTAATTATAAAAACTATAGACGTACGTGTACATGTTAAACGGAGAATAAAGCTCTTAATCTGTACATTGAATATAAATGGTCTCTGTTGGAGTTCTTAAATTCAACATCCGTACCTAAATCAATGCCCGTAGTATATAATTTACCGTAACTCCGAGAGTTTGTTTTTCGTATCTGCAATACCGTACACGCACATATTGTCGCTTTAAAAACTTGTGAAAAGTTATTTTAATTCACATGTGAACTGCCTCCTCGTGTGCAATTCTTCTGAAAATTTAACACGGCTGACGGTTAGTAACTAATATTCGCTCGTTAGGTGAAAGCCTCATTGTCGCAATGATAAATTAGCATACGACCCATGTCAAAGCATCACAAAAAGGCCTTGATGCGCAGTCATGTATACTTTGCTGTTACAAAGATATAGAGAAAAGATATCAATCAACATGTAATACACCATTTTTATATCACAAGCATTTATCCAAAAACAGTTAGCACGACTATTATTGCTCTTTATGATTTTGCATTCTTTGGAACAACATATCAAACGTGTACATATAAATGTATAATCTATCTAGAAAAATAAGCTATCAAAAAATTAAAAAAGTAGAACCTCAATCACAAACGTAAAAATTATACAATTATTATATTTTCTATTTTCCGTAATTTTTGTTTTCTCCGTACAGTTTTCTCTGTGTGTGCACGTGCGCGCGCGTGAATAAATAATTTCCAAAATTCCTGAAAACCGGTGAATCGCGTCGTACAAAGAAGCTCATGCGTAGATAAAGGCTACGAGATCGAAATCGTCACGAGGTGAAAGGGAAGAACGAAGGCGAGATGAGCTTCGATATCTCGCGCTACAACTCTGCACGATGAGATGTAAGCTCCGCCTATCTCTCGGTTACAGCAAGAGTCTCGTCGGTGGGGGGGTATTCCAACCCCTGCTCCATCGTCGTTGGCATCCACGGCATTCCAATTAGCTCGCGAATCAAAAGAGCCCCACTGCCTTTGTGGGGTCTCACCCTATCCCCTAGTAAACTCGCTCCTTCTCTCTCTATCGTCCTATCTCGTTAACCACCTCCTCTCTGTCCGTCTATCTATTCGCCTTCTGCTTTTATCTATTCGCTATCTGCTTTTATCGCACTATATATATGTATGTGTATCTTTCTGTCTCAATCACTATACGTACAATTTTTTTAATTTACAATATTATTTCTGTATTCTTGTGAATTACCAAATTATTTTTATATACACTTACACACACACACACACCAGATCTATGTAAGTAAAGTGCAGACAAATGATTAAACCATCTTTTTCACATCATCCTTTCAGTCTCCTACTTGTGCACCTCTTCTCTTTCTTCATATTTCTTCTCTACCGAGTTTTCTCTTCCTGGCCGTTTACTATCCCTCTATTTATTTGTTACTCTTTGTATCGTAGCTTCCTTTTCTGTGTTATTCATTCTACGTCCTTCACTCGCGGTTGGGCTTTTAGTGAAATAAAACAAGCGCAAAACGGTAAAGAGCGGTTGTTGCAAGAGAGAATGGAGGGAGAAGGGTGGATGGGATTAACCGCAGTTTTAATCGTGAATCCTCTTCTTTGACGGACGAGATTCATATAAACGCATGAGCACTTTGGCGTAACGACCGAATTACATTGCTTGTCTTTAAGTAGTTACGTAAAATTCTTGAAGAAGATTGAGAATTATACGTAACACACCGAGAATCGACTATCTCTTTTTTTCGAACATGCAAAACAAATAAGCCACATATATGTAAAAAAATATTATCTGTAATGATTTGATGTTGCAATATCTTTCTTTAACGCAACAGCAATAGATGAAATAAAACATTAATATATTACAGAACGAACTGTGTCAATATGTGCTTTTTTATGTGTAATAAAAACGTAAAGAATTTTTCGAGAATTTTTTATATTTTAATATCACACACACGCACGTCACGTAAAACAAATATGTTAAGCAACAAAATATATATAGAATTATATATAACATATAGAATTATATAAAACATTTGTTACACATTTCTTAAAGATTATAAAAACGCAATATTGCCAAAGTATATTTCAAGACATTCAGAAATATGGCCAAGAGATTTCAATATCCCGGGTGGCCGAATGACAAATTGGTATTGCAAAGCGACTCTCGACGTTTCCCTCAACCTTCCGCGTTTTTACTCAAACGGGCATCCATATACACCAGTCACTCGGGGTAATTGAAATCGGAGGAAACCGCTCGTGGTGTTTCCCCGACTCGGTCACGACGAAGCGCAACGCAAATTTTATTACGGCGCGCGCCTCTATCCACTTCGTTAGATACCACTTTGTTTATCATTCGTTGATATTAAAATCGTCAGTGTAATGTGTACGTGAATATATATCCAGCATCGTTTTGCCATTTATATAAGATCCACCAATTTTCATACTTTTGCACCTGTCTCTCTTCTTATAAATATGGTCTTTCTTGTATTTTATCTTTATTTTATATACTTATATATAATATTTTAGAACAGTTTTATAAAAGAAAAAGCTACTTTTGTTAGCAACAAATTTGTACAAAAATATATTGCGTGTAGCAATAATGTAACGTTGCCATAATGAAAAATATTGAAATTTTATACAATATTACAACAATCGTAATACAAGTTCCTAAGCAAGATCAAAGAGCATTCCTATGCTTCTGGAAACACGCTATCTTCACTTTATCCCACCGTTAGATTGATATCAAATACGCAATCTGTGGAATCTGCAATTTACATGTATAAATGTAACTTTAAACATTGAAATAAACAATAGTAATATGACGTATTCTCTTTGTGTAGTGCATGAGAATTAGTCATTTAATAATTTAATACATATAAACAAATATTTTATTGTTAACAACGACATTTCTAACAATTAGTACATGCAACTTTAGTGTGAACATCAAGTAAACAAACTTTTAATTACCGTCGATGAATTAAAAATTCTGTCTTTGCTAACTTGTGTAAAGTAAATATAATTGACGAGAACAAAAGCGTCTTGCAAAATAGGTAAAGGTTTACAGAAATCTCGAACGTTCGTAACGTTTCAGTATCCAATTAATGTTGCGAACAACGAGCGTTTGAGTATAATTTATTACGCTGAGAATCGCAACTGATTGCAATATTTTTCCTAGATGCGTTGCATTGGCCACTAGCATGAGCAATGTTCGCGTTATTAAGATGAGAATGAGAGAGAAAGAGAAGCAATGAAATATTTTAGGAACATCTAGCTGTCGCAAAAAATTATTTGATTGTAAAAAATATATTTCCGCAGATACTAACGCATAAACTTTGAACGTGATCAACTTATTAGCTATTTTTTATTCAAGCATATCAACTTCTTGTAAATATAAATATTGCTTTTGCAAATTTTTAAATATAAATTTTTCATTATAATTAATTAATCAGTTGGAAATAAACTAATTCATTTTGCAATATTGCAGTACATATAATATTATAGCTTACATTAGTAGTCGTAGATATTTGAAAATTTGAAACTTTCAGTAAGTTATAAACAATACTTTATGTAATAAATTGCTGAATGATATGTTATTATAATTTATAATATAGATAACAACACTGACTAAAAAGTTCTTAAATAATTGTCTGTACAAAAATCTACGTCAAAATTATTTAAATTTATGAGTATAATTTGCGTTTCGATTAAAAAATATCAAAACACGATAAAACGATAAACGCTTTTATTCACGTAGCTGAGTGGTGCTTGTGTTGAAGTTTGTGCAGCTCGGAAAAATTAAAACGTTTCATCGAAATGTTTTTAAAAAATGATAACATTTAACGAATATGTGGCCATTTGTGACCAAGCGGATATAAATGGATTTACAACAAATTGTAAAATCCCAATTGTAAAATTCTAAAATAAAATTAAAAAAAAGTCAAGTTTTATATTTACGAAATAAATGTATCATATATATACACATATATGTGTGTGTATATTATCCATATAAAAATACTTGTAACAGATTTGGGGCTGTGCTTGGTATGTGGCTAAACAGGGGTTCCGTCGTACGTCACTAATCATGACCACGAATATACATGCCGTAAAAAACGCTATGCAGGATGAACGACGAAGGGAGGGGAATGTACGCCCGAGGGGCTGCGTACAGGTCATATTCATAACATCAGAGACGAGGTAATAAAAGTCAGCACCCTTTCTTTCTCATCCTTTTTTCTCTGTCATTTTCTACCGTCGTTCTCGTTCCGCTTGGATAACCAGAAGAACGTGGGAGAGATGCGTAGACAAGTCAAAATAACGAAAAGAGGGAAGCTGTGCGACTTGTATCTTGTGACATATTTGCCTAGCGTTGTTGTATGTACATATGCCACATAATCTGATAATAATCTAACTTGACATGTTCACCGGTAGAGAAAGATTTTATAGAAGCAGTTAACATAGTCCGTGATATTTATTTGAATTCTATTGCTTACAGAAATTTATTACTGATATAATCAAATAAGTATTATAAGATACTAGGTAATTAAGTAAAACTATATTCCCTTACAAAAATTTCTTACTAGAAAGAATATGATCAAAATAAACATTAATAATATTTATCTTAGCCACTACTAGTGATAAATTTTTGTAAAGAAATATGCCATTTATTATGTCTTATTCAAATATTGAATATAATTAAAGCGCTTGTGAAAAAGTTGATCTTCAAAGAGTCGAGATCGAAACACTGAACTATTTAGAGACACGTCTGTGATCGTATCTCCGATAGTCACTTTACCCCTGAATATAATCTCCCCGTTGTTAAACCACTCCACCCTTCCTAGTTGGGTCAAGTGTTTTCTCCCACTAACGTGTATCGTTTCTTGCATCCGAAGGGTGCCACCGAAAGAATCGCAACTATTTCATTTTGGGACAGATTAGACAGATTAGAGCGGACGGGGATGTACGACCGAGCGGTATTTACCGATGTCATATGCGACCCAACTTTATGGGGTCAAATAATATTACCTACGCACTTTTCTTTCGACCCTATCAGTGTTGAGTAATTTCACGGTTGGCGTCTAGTATGTGAGAGCGCGGCGTGTTTAATTTACAGAGTAATATTGGTGAGAATGCGTT